TTTTTAAGTTTTTGACAGATCTCAACTGCTATTTCAGAGTGCAACCCAGAAATCAGGAGCAATGTGTAAACATACCTGATATTTAAATATCTTTCTCCAATCACTTTTAATTTTAATTTCAACAGGACATTGTCTATTTAAAATTTATTCTTAGTCTTATCTCACATTTCTGTGGTTACTGGACATGTTTTTTCACTTTCCCTTTTAACTTTTTAACTTTAGTTTCTAAACGAAAAAAAAACAAGTTAGAAATGGAGCTGAAGGACATTTATTTTTTCAAACTGAAAACATACCCCAAAAATCTTTTTTCTTTAAAGAGCTGAGGGTAAGATGCAACCAAAACTCATCCATTACATGAGGTTAATTTACAGAACTCCACAAAATTGCCTTTCAGGTGAAGGGGATGCTGTTGCCACAACTGTGTGTTCAGTCCCATGAAAAGGGAGATTCTCTCCAAGCCTTTGTGTTTGTTTGGTCTGTTGGGGTGCAGACAGCACAGCCAGGCTCCCTTTAAATCCCTGCAAGAGCAGAGACTCAGCAGTAAATTGCAGCTGGTAAGCCACAGAGCAGCTGTCAGCCAAAGGAAAAGAAAGAAGATTTCTTGTTGTTGAACCAGCAGAATGCACAGCTCTGTGCCAAGGGTCACCTCAGATGTCACCCACCTGCAACGCATGACCACCCCCACTGAACAGGATGTAAAACCAGAGTCACACAAGCTCGACCTAAATGTAAAAATAGTATAAAAGTAAGTTAGAAGTGGGAGAAATTTGGGAAGGCTCCACTGCAACAATCTGAAGCTGTCTTTTCCCCTTTAGGGATGTCTGGGGGGTAAGAACTGTACTAGAAGTGTGATGAATGATGAACTCCAGTCAGCTTCTGTTAGGAAATCAAGCTGGTTAATATGGTGAGGTTTTTTTGCAGACAGATACCACCAGCAATCCTGAAACCTCAACCTGCTGTAATTTTCTATTATATTACTGCTGTTATTCCAGAAAGGGTTCGGTGTGAGTCCTTCAAGGGCACCACCAGTGCCTGCAGTGAGTAACACTCTGCTGAGGAGAGCTGGGACAGGGGTCCGTGATTGTGTGACCCTCCCCAGGGCACTGGAACCACTCTGATCCAGGGGACTGCCCAGGGAAGGGTCCCCAGAACAGGATGCTGACATTTTGTGGGCCCAAGGGTCTTGGCTTTCCTGTAGCACTGACAGACCAATCAAACACAAAGGCTTTGAGAAAATCTCTCTTTTCAGGTGAGAGAAGGTAAATGATAAGAAGTTGAAGTAGATATGCAGATGCCAAAGAAAGAATATGTTCTGTTCAATGAGTGAACAACCTAAAATAAATTCAGAAAACAAACCCACAAGGATCCAAGAAGGATAATATTGGTGAGTGAATGTGACACATGGATAACCCTGTGCTGTCTGCAAATGACATTGCAAGCTGCTCTCAAAACCAAGTCAAAAGCCTGACAATATCAGAACAGGGCAACACAGGAAGTTCTTTTATCAATCTCTATGAGAAAACAGAGCAACACAGCTTCCTCAAACCAGAGCATTATTTCTGCAGAAAAGATATCCAAATTACCCAAAATGAAAATTTATTTTTCTCTCTGTCCATATATATAAATACCTGGATGGCTGGGTGTATGTATACATACACTTTAACACATATAACATACAGACAGAAAGAGGAAATACAGAAATTAATAAAGCATTTTCAATTCCAGGCTCCTTTCACAGCAAGCAAAGATGATACTGCAGGGTGAGGAAGATGGTGACTCATCTACTGAGAACATTTCAAACATCAAAAATATTTATCATTTATAAGAGTAGGACATGAGAGTTGTGAATGGGAAATAGAAATCAGATCACATTCATGTCTTATATTCTACTGAAATACCTTATTCATGTGCCCATAACTCTATCAAATATCTTCTGAAAAATTACATAGACCTCTACTCACTCACCTCATTTTCTGTTAGCTGATCAGGAAGCTCTTTCATTTCTGCTTCGACGTTATCTTTATTATCAGACAGAGAATCAAGGATATTGTCAGGACTGTAATCTTCTCCACAGTCTACAGCACTGCTGTTATCTATTTCAGCTTCATCTAACACACTAATATCCATCATGTCAATATCCTGCAAGGTATCCAGATTTGCTTCAATATCCTCCTACAGAGAGAAAAAGGGAAAATGTGTATTTATTGCAGGTTACATGATGCACATTCTTAGTAACTGCAATCATGATTTCACTTACCTGCCCATCTCTAGAGTTTTCCTCTAGACCATTGTCTTCCACACCTTCTTCTTCTGGCTTTCTTCCTAAAAAAAGTGTCACTGCAGTGAGATGTAGCACTACATTTTGTAAAATGTTTAAGCTTTGGTGAATTATCTGTTACAACAAATAGTCCTAAAGAGGATGATTCTGCAGTCTGGGTCTGTATGGATGTAACTGAGGTCACCCTGCCACTCCATAAAAGCAAACAGCAGGAGCATGAACTACCAGCAACACAGTGGTTTTTTTAATGCTACAGTATTTTTCTAAAGCTACAGTCTCATTCCACAGTACTTCAGTACCTAAAAAGACACAACAGCCTTTGGGCAATCCATTTAAAAGTAACACCTTAAGATTGTTAAGAAAACACCTCCCTTAATTAAAAGGATTTAAGAATTAGTGGTCACTTTCAAGATCTTACACATACAAATCACATTTATGCACATCTGTCACTCCCAAACTCGTACTGCTATTCAAAGATAACAGCTCTTTTTCTATTTTTAGTCACCCTGTCTTAAAAGAAGCAGCTTAATAATCTGTTTTAAGAACTAGTTATCAGCAACTCAAGTAAGTCACATGTAAAATACCATGTACAACATTTAATATTTTGAAGCAACATAAGTTAGATATAATAGTTTACATATAACTGAAATATGATTATAGAGGCTTTCCATGGAGCTTATGCTACAGCTGCTTGCTCTGTACCTGACACAATTCTACTCATGGTCACACCTGCAATTTACAGTTTCATCTTTGAGTTTCAAGACATACTAATGGAACACAGTCAGGTTTAAAGTTGTTAGTGCTCATTAATGCAATAGAGTTTTACTATTTTCCACAAGGTAAAAAGCAACTTTTAAAAATTAAACTAAGTCAACAGGAGAAAACAAGTTTGTATGCCAAGTTCTAGCATGTGTCCAGACACTGTACCTTTGCTAGTTCTTTTTGGCATTCTCTTTGTGGTCAGCTCTGAGGCCACGGGAATTTCATCAGGATCTCCTCCTTCCTCCTCAATGGCCTGTTGGAGACAGCAAGATGATATCCACTTTATTATTTGCTGGTGTGCATTTGTACTGACTTTGGATGGGGCAGCTAATTCTCTTCACAGCAGCTGTGGTTGGAGTTTGTGCTGAGAACAGTGCTGATAACACAGTTATGTGGTGCTTGGCTGTCTGCTAGAGTTTAACCACAACTGCATTTTTAAGGATTTTTCAGAGAGAAACATTGGTGTCTCTCCCTAGTTTAGGTCATACCGCCAGGCAGCAGGCACCACCTGTCAGAAATACTGAATAATGGGGTGCAACACATCCCCACAAGCAAATCAAGCTACAGATGGGGAGCAAAGCTTCCTGCTCTGCAGATAAACATATTAACAGTATAAAACCGGGAGAGACTCTTACAGGAGCTCATGTGCATGAGTTTCTTCTCAATGTGCAGGCCTGTTAGAACCCATAAAGGGCCAAGGCTGACCGTGCTGTTCTGACCTCATGAAGTCTGTAGGAATACATTCCACAGAGGTCAGAGAGATGCAGTCGGGTCAATGTGGTGATGCCAAGCATTAGGGCAGAAACTAATGCACAGAAAGTTCCACCTCAATAGGAGAATAAAATTCTTTACAGTGCAAGTAAGCATGCACTGGAATAGATTGCCTAAAGAAGGGTGTGGAGTCTCTCACTGGACATATTCAGACAAAATCCTGTACCATGGGTTCTAGGACAAAACCCTGCTGGAGCAGATGCCCCACTGCGATCCCTTCCAAGCTTACCCATTCTGCGAACGGCACGGAGAAGCACGACAACAGGTACGGGGGAGAGGCGCGTGTGTGCACGTCGGGGGAACGGGAGAGCAAACCGGGGAAGGACGCGCGGACGCCGGGGTCAAGCAGTGCCGGGACGGCCGAGCCCATCTCACATTGCATCCAGCGCAACCCGAGCCGCGCTCGGCGGAACGGGCGCCACACCACAGAGCGGTGCCGTGAAACAACGGAAAGGCACGGGAGCAAAGGGGACGCGCCGGTGCCCAACAACACCCCGCGGCAGCAACAGCGGAGCCCTGCTCCCCTCAGGGCCGGCCCGCTCCCCTCAGGGCCCCGGGCCCGGCCCCAGCGCGCAGGCGCCGAGAGCGCCACAGACAAAGGACCCGGATGGCCGCACGCCGCTCCTCCCCCCCCACCTTCCTCAGCCGTTCCATGAGGACGCTCTTGTTGCCGCCGCTGTCCAGGTTACGCCGCTTAAGCTCAGCCCGCAGGTCGATGACTCGCAGCTCACTCAGCCGCCGGGTTTCAGGCTCCGAACCAAAAGCCGCGGCCCCACCAAGGGATGTGAAATCCCCCAGTCCGGCCGCTGATTGACTCTCCGCCATCAAGGCCCCTTCGATATTTGGCCTCGAGCCCGAACGCGCAGGAGAACACGGCACAACCCAGCAGCGAACCTGGCGATCACGGCACAAAATGGTGGGGAGCGAGAGGCGCTGAGGGGAGGGGGAACAAAGCGCGCTGTGCGCATGCGCCGGCAGGACCAAACGGGCGGGGCCTGGCCGGAGATTCGCTCCGCGCAGGCGCAAACGGCGTCGCCCGCGTCCAAGGACGGCTCGCGAGCTCTTGCGCATGCGCAGAAGGGGGACCGGGGGCCGGCCGCCCGCGTGACGTCACCGCCGCTCCGGAGTTGGCGGCGCCGCGGCGCGCGCGGCCTGCCCGGACCCCCGGCGCGCACGCGCGCTGCGCCTCCCTGCCTTTCCCGCCCCCTCGCTCTCCCCGCGCCCCGGCTCTCCTCCATTTTGTGCTGCGGCGGCGGCTGCGGCGCTCCCGCCTTGCTTTTACCCCGCCTTGCCCCGAGCGAGCGAGTCCAAACCGCGGCCCATGGCGGAGAGTCACTCACCGGCCGGGCTGGCGGAGTCTGCGTCCCTGGCAGGGCCTGGCGTCCCCGGTTCGGAGTCGGAAAGCCGGCGGCGGCCGCTGAGCGAGCTGCGCGTGATAGACCTGCGGGCCGAGCTCAGGCAGCGCAACCTGGACAGCGGCGGCAACAAGAGCGTCCTCATGGAGCGGCTGAGGAAGGTGAGGGCGGGCTGGGGCTGCCTCAGCGGGGCGTGCAGCGGCTGCGACCCCGGCCCGCCGGGCACCGCTGGGGAAAATGGCGCCAAAGCGCGGCCGGGGCCCTGAGGGGATCGGTGCGAGCGTTCGGTGCCGGCGTGGCTGGGCTCGCCCTGTCACCGGCGCTGTCACGGAGTGTCACCGAGTCCGGCTCCCGTCCCGGCTCTCCGTGTCTGCCGTGGCGCTCGGCCCGAGTTTTCCCCGCTTCGTGCGCCACAGAGTTCTGCTGTTCCCTGCGTCGCTGGGGTTAGGCTCTGCGCGCTGTCTAGCGGGGTTTTTTGCTGCGTGCTGGTAGTTTTCTGGCAGTCCTTTTTCTGTATTCTCATCACAACCTTTCGTGTGTTAATACCATGAGGAATCCCTTCTCTGACCTGCTTGCTGCGTCCCAGAGCCGAGGATTTTACTCTGTCACAACAACCGGTGTGTTTGTGCACAGTCCCAAATGCTGTAGGATTGGCTTTTTTTGCTGACAGTTTTCCTGAAACCTTACACCAACACGTTACTGCTTTCTGCCTGCTTGTTGCTTTGCTCTGGTGGTTTTTCGTTTGTGTAGCCAAGTTGCTGATTCATGTTTTGGAATTCTTTAGCCTCTGGTGTCTAGCCCTTAAACGCAACAAAAATGTACAAATGAAATTTTTTATGTCTGTTTCTATATCTGTCTTTCTCTTTTGCCCCTGTTAGGCTATTGAGGAGGAAGGAGGGAATCCTGATGAAATTCCATTGGCTTCAGAAAATATCATGAAGAAAACTCCAAAAAGGAGCAGTAAAGGTACAGGGCAGTTAGAGAGACTTTCCACTTTATCACCCTTGAATTTTCAAGCAAATGTACTCATTAAATGGAACTTCTATAATATTTTTTTGTGTTACTGGTACTCTACCCCACATTTGTTCTGAAGTTTCTAGGGATGGATGAGAAAATATTAAACTTAGCAGTTATTGAATCAGAGAACTTAATGTGATTTAAATGTTGAAGGATCTGTTGGTTTATTCTCAGAAGTCCCTGAAATTTATATTAAGAATTGCTAAGTAATACTGAAGCAGTGTCAGTGTTTTTAATACTTTTTTAATGTAGAAATGTAGAGTTTCTAGCAAATGCAAAATAAGATCTCTAGTGTTATGCTTCATAGCTAATAGCAGTTGCAATTTTCTTCTCAGAAGACAAGTTTTTAATCCATTTCTGAAGTCAGATATATTTTCAAGACCTTAATGTTTGGTTTTTGTAGCAGTGAGACAGTCTTACATAATCCTTAGTTTCAGAAAATAATTTACTGGTTTCCTAAAATTAGTTAATTAGCACAATTTGATCTTATTTTGTAAGCAAATAGTGTTTAAAACTTTGCATTGGAGCTGAGCAAAAGAACTAGTTTAGCCAGAGTATTTTTATTACTAGATTTGGTTTACACAAAATGTAAATTTTGTGTAAACTGTAGATGTAAACTGTTTTGCCAGCTAATTTGTTTGATTTTTCTCATTACATCTGATTTGGAGTGATGGTGCAATTGCTTGGAGGCTAAAATGTGAACTATTGACCACATAGAGGGCAAATGTCACAGCTCTGGGTGAAAGAGATCTTTTAAATCATATTAACTTTCAAGTCTTAGAAAAACACCTGATGTCTTTTATTGCAATTTTTAGTGTCAGGATGGAAATAGATCAAATATTCCTCTTGGCTCTAAAACCCCTCTCACTTTTCAGTTGTAATGTGCTTGTAGTTTTTGAGGAAAATACAATTCACAAAATGTCAAACAGCTGCTTAGCTCTGAGTTTGAGGAGTTGCTCCTTGGTGCTGAAGCCCGTGTAGTGTTTTCAGTAATTCCTTTAATTGGGATAATTCATATGCAGCTGGTGGGCAGAGCAGTGAAACTCACAGGTACAGTGGGTTTTTTCAGTATTTTGTGCATTATTTTGTATTTTGGTTGGTTGGGGTTTTTTTCTGTCCTCGTAAGTGCCTGTGAAGAAATGAAAGGTTGAGGTGATAAATTGCTGCAATCTGAGCAGAGCCAAATGTTCTGGGGAGGTCACAGAGCTTGAGCTCCTGCCAGGTGTTGGACTGTGGTGTGTTTATCACTTACTAGGGTGGTCACAAACAGGGAAAAAACTGAAGGGAGCATCAACCCTGGTGAAAAAGTAAAGCTTGAGGGGTACAATTGTAATTTCTGCTCTCATTCTGATGATAATGTTGTTGTTAGGACGTAGAGCAGATGAAGAGGGAGTGGAAGACAACGGCCTGGAGGAGGATTCTGGAGATGGACAGGTACAGGGGGCTGGCTTTGGAGGGGACTCAGGTGGTGGCAGATGGCTCTCAAGTCACCCTGACTGTGACATGTGCTTTTTTTTCTTTTTACAGGACGATATTGAAGCAAGTTTGGATAACTTGCAGGATATTGACATGATGGATATTAGTGTGTTAGATGAAGCTGAAATAGATAATGGCAATGCAGTAGATTGTGGAGATGATTACAGTGCCCATAATATTCTTGACTCGCTGTCTGATAGTAAAGAAAATGCTGATGCAGAAGTGAAAGAATTTCCAGATCAGCCTACAGAGTATGCTGTAGGTAACTTGGAGGCATCCCCACAATTTTCAGAAATTAAAGAAGAATCAAGAGAAATACCAATAGTGATGGTATGCATCTCTTACATGTGTGGAATCAGGATTTTCTTTTTAGAATTTATTTATTTATGGATTAAATAGCAAAATGGTGGCTTAAGAGTACTTGGGAAAACTTGGAACTCTACTGGTTCTTATGGTCGTTGCTTTTCTTTTTACATATTTGTGGAAATAAGTATCTTAATTTTTAAAATACTTAACTGTTGTTGGTACACATGTGATTTTATTATTTAATAGCCCTATAGAGGATTTGGTTTTAATTGTGCTTTGAACTCTGCTTCACCTTATTAATTATAATATATGTATTTTTCTTATTTTCATATTTTTATTTCAGAGAACATGTGAGGCAGACAAATAGTGTAGCTTACTTTCTTCTCAACTGAACAGCACCATTCAGGGAATTATATTCAAGGTTATTTTTCTGCTGAGGCTGGGCCTTCCAGTTATTCAGTATTTTTATGTTGGCTTGTTGTGTTCATCTGGCTGTTGACAGTGGGCTAAAGGATAATCCCTTCCCAGTTATTTCTGCCCCATCTAATGGGGTAGTATTGCTCTTCGTTGTGTGTCCACATTGACTATGAGGCTCTAAAGTTGTGTGGTTCTTTTCTAAAGTTGGAGAAATAAGTGTGGCCTCCTATCCTCAGGCATATCCTTGTCCTACACAAATCAAATGGAAATACTCAGAAAAAAGGGATTTTTTTGAGTGAGTAAATGTCTTGAGGCCAGGTCAGCTCCCACGATCTGCTTTCATCAGTGAAAGAAATAATTATCAAGTCTATAGATTTTCTTGGCTCAGGGTAGTTGCTGTAAATGACAGGGATACAAATCAGAGAAATTTTGCTGTTGAAATCCCCATATTTAAAAGATCTTTTTGAGCTGGCCATCATAGTTGAGAGATGAGGGATTTTATTCAGTCAGTGGGGATCAGGAAGAGGCCTGGGGGTTATCACTCAGTTTTTACCATTATTGGTTGCTTTGGATGCTGGATGTGTTTGCTGGGTAAGAGCTGTCAGTGCAAATACAACCCTTCAGTTTCTCATTCAGCTTTTAATCACAGTATTCTTTTATAGATAACAAGATGTCTCCCATTTGTTTTTTAAAGGTAGAGTTTGAAGATGTTGGGAACAGTTTAGATGCTTCTTCATCAGATTTAACCGTAATAAAGGTAAATGGTAGCCAGTTTTTCTTTACAAACAAAAAAAGCATAAAATACACTATATAATGCCGTATATTGAAACTGTATGTATAGTGGGTGCATTCTTGCTCTGCAAAGAATGGGAACTAATGCCTTTTGATTTATTCATAGAGACAAAGATTTATTTCTTTATCAGATCATATATATATGTATATACATACATATGTATATATTTATGATGTATGTATCATACTGAGTTTGGTGGTAGATTGGATTCCTTTTATCTGATCTGAAATACCAGCTCAGTGCCTTACATTGTGTTTAATTTCCATTAAAAATGTACATATCCCAGGGTGAGAAGAAAGCTGGAACTGTCTATTCCTGAAATGCTGGCCTTGTTTCCAGATCACTCCTGGTAGGTTAAGAGCACCAGCTCCAGGGGAAGCTGGTGTTTCTGTTGATCCTGTTTTCAGAAAGGAGACTTCAAAAAACACAGGGTAGGGAAGGGTAACATCAAGATAAGCTTTCCTTTGTGCTACTTACATTTATTGATTGATTTGTCCATGTGAATGTGTACCATGTGTTCAACAGGTGGCTGAATTTGAGAGGTTTTAAAGTTTTCGGACTTCATAAAACTTTAAGGATGTTAAAAGCTCATCTTAATTTTTTTTTCTGAGAAATTTATTTGAATTTCAATGTTTTCAAAGCTGGACTAGGCTAAATTATACTATTGTTTTCACTAAATACTCTCCTGTAACGGGTACATAAGAAATGTCATTCACAATAGCATCTCGCTTCTGAAATAGTGATATTTCTCCCTTTTAAAATCTTTTTCACTACAGGAACTTGAAGAGTTACCTTTGGAGCCAGGTACTGTTTGTTTTTGTTTGGTTACTTTGAATTCTTTTTTTTTTTTAATGAAAAAAAAAAATCCTGGGCATTTAAACAGTTTCATTCTTCATTTAGGCTTTTTGCGTCCCTGTTTGGTTTTTTTGGTTCTTTTTTTTAATGCATTACTGTAGTGTACGTTATTATGGTGGAAAATCCAGGTCATGCAGGGTCATAGAGATTGGAAACCCAGTCATATCACCAGATCTGTGAATAACCACCTTTGGAAAACTTGTTTAATTCCATGAAATGGTTCCCTAGAACTGTTACTGCAGAGTGAAGTTAAGGAATGAGCCTTAAAGATGTAAAGGTTCTGCAAACAGATCTTGTGATATCACACTGTACAGTGGTTCTGTGAATAAATATAAATACAGGAGAGTAGGCAGTGCAAAGCTCTGGTGCAGAACAGAAATTAAGGAGTGACTGGACTTCAGAAGAAGGAACACACTGCCATCACGGGAATTTGCTACAGATCCCACTCGCTTTCTGGACTGCATAGACACTCAGAACCATCAGAAGATGCCCAGTTCTCATGTTGGACTGTCTCTGCTAAAAGAACTTCACAGAAATTTGGGAAATTGAACTCTCAGTGCCTTGATACATTCAGTTAAGCATCTCGGACTCTGGAAGCTAACTAGAGAAGAAACAGAGCTGAACGATTTGCTGAAGAATATGAAGGCTGAGCCCGAAGTTTTTGTTAAATCTGTGGGGGCATTTTTCTTGGCTGTTGAGGTGCTAGGGCTGATTTGGCAGGGTGTGAGAGAGCAGTTAGCGTGGTAGGTGTAACAACACTGTGTACACTAGGGTTTTCCAATCTCTGTGTAGCTTAGCAGTTCTCTTGGTGTTAGTGTGGCAGCCATGCCAGTTCCACAATTGTGATTGCTGTATTTCCCTGGTGATTAAATCTTGTGCCATTCTATTCCTGTTAAATCCGTAGAAAATGAGAAAATACTCGACATTTTGGGGGAAACTTGTAAATCTGAGCTACTTAACGAAGAACCTCCCGAAGCGGAGCGGCCGCGTGCGCAGGAAGCCAGTAACGCGGGGCCAGGCAAGAGGCTGGCTGAGGAAGAGGACGCTCTCGCTGCCGCTCAGCTGGAGGAAGATGCTTTAGCTTTGGACAGCAAATCGGCCCAAGCTTTGGCAAGGAAGGAAGCAAAGCGTTTAGTGGTAGCAAAAGGGGAGACAAGTGAACAGAGCCCCGAGGAAGAGGGCCCGGACTCTGAAGGTGTAGTGGTAGAGACCCTAAGCGATCAGAGTAGCAAGCGCTCCCAAGGCCTGGAAGCCTCTAGTGGGGAGGCAGCGGAGAAAGGCGCAGGTGCCGAAGCCAGAGATAGCAAAGAAGATGGCAAGAGAGCAGAAGACAAAGCTAATTCTGAGGAATCTTCCCCTGCCACTAAAGAGTCCTCAGCCAGTGAGGGCGGTGATCAGAAAAAGAGGTTTGTTTTTTCTCCGTTCTAGACCAGATGCTATCTTTTATCATTGGTCCTTAAGTGATGCGAATAAGCTGTTTCCTTCAATTGGCCTCCGAGACTGATGAAATTGTAGTCTATTCTTAAAGGTCTCTTTTATTTCTCCATGTGCAGATATTTTTTTTTTCCTTAAGAACAGTGGGTTTGATTTCTTTCCTTCCTCAACCTTCAAAGGTTGTTTTCCCCAAATTACTCTTATTTCTGTCTTCTGCAAAACAGAATTGTCCGTTTAGGGGTACAAATCCCTATTTCCTGTCACTCTTCTAGAAAATTGCCAATAATAGTGTTTATTTTGGAACTAATTTGCTGGTAGGTATCCAAGTTTAGTTGTGCTATCTAGAATTAATGGCCTTTTTGTATATGATCTTTTGAATAATGTGGTGTTTTGTCTTTAGCCCTGTTGAAGACAAAGATACAAAGGCAGTCACAAAAGATGAGAAAGGTAGGTGTACATTTGGGGATTTTGGGGGGTTTTTATGTGCAATGGACCTGGAGTAAAAAGGAAGACTGTCAATTCTATGAACCCTCAATGCAGTTGTAACACATCCTTTCAAACTTTAAAGTATCAGTTCTCTGTAACTTCTGTAGCATTATTAACAAACAGAGTTGGAGTTTGTTTAAAGTATATTTTGTGGATTAACCTTTGATACTTTGTAATTCTCCTAAAAGTGATTGAAGTACAAGAAGAAAATCTGTAGCTGCAAACTCTTTAAGGCTGTTCAAATGCACATTAACTATGGAGAGTTTTATGAAGGAAAAATGTGGGGGGTTTAGGACTCTAAATTTTGCACTGCTGCATTTGTGTTTCACGTGGTCTTTTATGTTTTTTGCACCCCAGGCCGTGTGGGGAGTGGTTCTGGCAGAAATTTGTGGGTTAGTGGACTTTCCTCTTCTACTAGAGCTACAGATTTGAAGAACCTTTTCAGCAAGTATGGAAAGGTATGTAGAGGATATGTAAATTAGCAAATCATTCTGTCAGTTTAAAAGGCTGACCTTAAATGTTACTTTTATTTTCCCTCATGAATAACTGGGCAGGCTGAGTTCTTAACTTTTTATTCTTTGGAAACTCCACATCTCAAAGGAGTTCAATAAAGAAGCTTGGAATGGAGGGGTGGGAGCAGAGATGGAATTTGCAGAGAATATCTGTGCAGGTACCTGTGAGAATGAGGTAATTCTTGACAGGAGAGACTGGTAGATCTGTTTGCTTTCCCATCCAAACTGTTCTGAGAAATGGTCATTAATTTAGAATTTATTTCATAACAGACCTGCAAACATAGATCAGTATGTAGTAGTCTAATTATGTCTTGAATATCCATCTGTAGTTAATGCTGTTTTAAACTATTCCGTTTCAAGGAGTATTCTCTGGAGAAATCCAGTCTTTGAGGGCAGGCTCCCACTTGTTTTGCAGTGCCTGCTAGGATACAGGAGCAGAAGTTATGGAAGGGAACTCTGTGTGTGACCATCTTCCCTTCTGCCAAATACTTTTCTGAATGTAATACTAAATGTTTATGTCACTAAATGCCACTGCCTGTCACAGATTATCATCTGTGGGTACAGCTGTCCTGTAAGGAAAGAGAAAGGAATAGTAGTTTTGTTTATTCAATTTTATTTTGGTTTTTGCAATCCCACTCTCCCTTCTCTGTGTATATCTGCCTTAAGCTCCTGACCTGCTCAGCAACTTGAGGATGGAGCTGCACTATTGAAGATCTCCCTGTCTGTGACAGAGGACTGGTTGAACTTTTAAAGGCTTTTAAAAGTCCTTTCCCATCCAAACTGTTCTAAGAAGTGGTCATTAAGTTAGAATTTATTTAGTGACAGACCTGCAAATACAGAATATTTTGTTTTTTCCTGAAGGTGGTTGGTGCAAAAGTGGTGACAAATGCTCGCAGTCCTGGTGCTCGCTGCTATGGCTTTGTGACAATGTCAACATCTGAGGAGGCCACCAAGTGTATTAATCACCTCCACAGAACAGAGCTGCATGGTAAAATGATTTCTGTGGAAAAGGTGAGTGGCAGCTGTTTCATGGCAGTGTAATGAAAATAAAAGCATGCAATTTTAATCTCTGTCTCTGACTATGTAATTATTTCTGGCTGAATTTCTAGGCAAAAAATGAACCAGCAGGAAAAAAGCCTTCTGACAAAAAAGAAGGTGAAACAAGGAAGGAAAAAGACAGGCACCATTCTGCAGAGTGCAAATCTGAGAAGTAAAGTGTTGTTTTGTATTTTATGATACTTAAAGACCACTCATTTCAAGTACAGCTAGGTGACCAAGTTGAACTAATATAAATCTTGATTTAATGTTTTTTTCTGCACTTTAAGTAGGAATAATGCTTGGAAAGTTGATGTTTTACAGTGGTAAGGGCATCTTAACTGGCCTTCTGTTCAGAAATAAGAAGCTCTTTAGTATAAAAACTTGTTAGCTATATTGGGAGATACTAAATCAAATTATTTCTAGGTAAAGCATTACTTTTACCAGAGGTTTCTCCTCTGATCTGACTCTATCTTGAACTTTTTTTTTAACTGACAAATATTTCTAGGATTTATTCTGTCTTTTTGGTAGACTGACTCTGTGATTAGTGAGTGATACTTCCAGCATTGGTTTTTCAAGTGGTTTGTTGCTTTTGAAAGAGGCATTTTGCTTTCCTGCTTTCTGTAGGTCTGTTGGTATTAAGAAGGAGGAGAAGATCGACAAAAAAGATGATGCTAAGAAATCAGAGAAAGATGAAAAAGAAGGAAAAGAAAAGGATGAACAAAAGACTGGATCTTCTGAGAGATCCAGGGCAAGTAAATCAGGTGATGCTGGATGCCCTTCAGAAATGTTTTCAAGGATACTTGTACATTATTAGATGTGATTGATAATTCAACACAAAGATCAGAAAATACCTTGAAAATTTTTACTTCATTTTCTAATAACTTAAAACAGAGTTTCCATCATTTTTATGGAACTGTCACTGGGTTTAGATCTGACATTCTGTGTGGTTCTGTGTTCTTTTTTGGGCTTTTTTTTTTAACTGTGGTGAAGGGTTTATTTTGTGGACAGAAGAATTAAATTAAATTTGTGTTCTTTTAGCTGTCATCCCTGCCAGAAAATACTGCTGTAATTTTGTGATAAGTCTACTGCTCCCATCCTCAAGTTGGCCAAATCTTGGCAAGCTATTTAAATAATGAATAAGTCTCATAAGTTACTAAAAACCTCATTAAAATAATTTTGTACTCTTTGTATCTTCACAGTTTTGAATCTTGCAAGAATTGTTGAATATCTTTTGTACCATTTATTTTTGTCTCTGTTTTGTTTTCTAGCGAGTCGAGGAACAGAAAGGACAGTGGTAATGGATAAATCTAAAGGAGAGCCAGTTATTAGTGTGAAAACCTCTGCCTCAAAAGAGAGGGTAAGGCCAACTTCCAGAGAAGCTTTTGTGTAAAAATAGGTGTCAAATAGATTTATGTGCTCAGAGGTGAAGGGGTTTTATCCTTGCGTATTGGTACAGTTATCCTTTTAGCACTTTCTGGAAAGCATCAGAGTGTTAATGATGTGGCAGAGGGGAAATGCTTCTGTTTCACCTTTTTTATACTTTTTTACTGCTGACCTAGTGGAAGAAGTCAAGTTGCAATATGAAAATGGTTTTAGAGTGATGTGTTTCCCTGAGCTTGTAATGTTACTGTGCAAGTCAGGTTGTGTTGCCGTAGTACTTATTTGTAATATTTAGAAGTTCTGGTCAAAGTGGGGGTACTTTTCCCTCAAATTCCACTGTTGTTTACCTTTGGGAAAGGCATGGTAGCCTGTTTTGTTCAGGTTGATACAAGTGTAGTGTTTGCCTAGGAGTTGTAGGAACTGCCCTGTGTTCAGCTCATGCATTGTTCTGGTTCATGTCAGAGCACAAAAAGCCAGGACCGCAAATCGGAGAGCAAAGAAAAGCAGGATATTTTATCATTCGATAAAATCAAGGAGCAGCGGGAACGGGAGCGGCAGAGGCAGAGGGAGAGAGAAATCAGGGAAACGGAGAGGCGCCGGTGAGTTCCTACTCCCTCTAAACTTTAAATGGCATTTTTTACTCCCTTTCTTGTTTTGTGTTTTGGACAGGCTGCAAAACAGTGCTGTGCTGACCCTCCAACAGTGATATTTCAGATTAATGTCTGTTCTAGCAGTAATTAGTATGAAATCAATGCTAAGTGATGGAGGCTTTTACTGCTGAAATCAATGTTCTCATGAGACTTCCATAGGTGATTTCAGGCTTTGTCTTCCACTTGACTGGATTTGAATTTTTGCTTTTTCTACAGAAGCTTGTAAATACTTTTTGTACATCAGATTTTTGTCTTGAGACTTGCTGGGGTCTCTGAAAGCTTTTTCAGACCTGACTTAAGAGTAGATGGTGTGTCACTTATGTACAGTTCTCACCTTTGCTTCTGTCGTTTGTATGGAATTCTTTATTTTCTCTTAAGCTGTTACTTAATTGAGAAGAACTGGGAGAAAACAGAAGCTTTTTTAAAAAATGAAACCCCACCCAAAACAAAGAAGCAGTAAAGCTTGGACAAGAGTCTCAATTAAAAACCAAATATCTCTTTGAAATTAGAGAGAGAGAGAGGCGAGACCGGGAGCAGCGCCTCGCAGCCATTCACGAGCGGGATGAGAGACAGAGGCTTCAGAGGGAGCGGGAACGGCTGGAATTCCAACGGCAGCGCCTGGACAGAGAGCGCTTGGAGAGGGAGAGGCTGGAGAGGGAAAGGATGCACATAGAGCAGGAGAGGAGACGGGAACAGGAGCGAATCCAGAGGGAGAGGGAGGAGCTGCGACGCCAGCAGGAGCAGCTGCGCTACGAGCAGGAGCGGAGATCTGCCATGAGGAGGCCTTACGATCCTGACAGGTGAGGAGCAGGGCAGGGCACCCCAAACTCAGCTCCATCCCCTTTGTGAGCTTGTGAAAATGGGGAGCACTCTGGGTAATGCAGTCATGGGAGCTTGCAGCTGAAAGACTCATTAGGTGCTGCTTTTAACACTAATAGCAATTTGAAGAAGAGCAAATACCGTGCTTGTAAGCACTGTTCTGGTCTGCTCCTGTTTCCCAAAGAGGGATGACCAAGAGTAGTAACAACACAGAGTTGTTACTGCTCTGAGTAATAGAGAGTATTAGTGTAGTTAATGGAGTAGTAGTGTGTATACACTTTACATGGTAGCGGGAAAGATACTCATTCTCTTCTCACATCACCACGTGCTGAAATTAAGCTGGTTTTGGTAAACCAGATTCTCTCTGAAACCAAAATGCAACTCCTGCTTAACACACCTAGATTTTTAATTATTGGGTGGAATGAGGTTTGAGAGAGCAGAAAAGGGGGGATGGTTCTGGGGCTGCTGCTGATGTGAGCCGTGTGCAGGCGGGATGACCCGTACTGGCCCGAGGCCAAGCGGCTGGCGCTGGAGGAGCGGTACCACTCGGACTTCGGCCGCCAGGATCGCTTCCACGACTTTGACCACCGGGACCGCGGCCGCTACCAGGATCACTGCTTGGACAGGTTGGCAAGGCACTGGCTCTTCTTCTTCCTATGCCTTCAGGGAAATTTGGTGTCTTGAATGTAAGCAGAGTGTAAGAAATCATTCTTGTGTATTTCTCATGTCTGATTTCACACGTGTTTGCAATCCTTTGTTTCTGTGGGTTAGGGTCATAGAAGGAGGCTGCATAAAGATGATAAGCCAAGTCCTAATGCAGTCTGCCATGATGCTGATGGAAATACAACAGCTCCTCTCAAGGTGTACGGAAGTCTACTTTATAAACCCCTAAGATTTAGCCATTTACTTTTGTTTTAAAACTTTCCCTGCTTTCATCTTTGCAGCCTGGCTAATGCAGGTTTTTAGCACCACAGAAAGGAAAAATACTTTCTGTGTGGTGCCATTGAGGCTTCCCTTTACTCTCAAAGGATCTCTGGTGAAAACTGTACTGCTTAGTTTTGCTTGTAACTCCTTTGTGACACTGGTAGGTTCACTCAGTATTCTCCCTTGGTATCACTGAGTACCTGGCTATCCTCAGTGATGCCTTTTCTACCCAGATTACAGTGATAGGTGTTACTTTGATCTCTTTTTATGCTATGAAACAAGAACTCTTTTGAGTTTTCTTGCTACTGAACATTAGCATCCAGATTTACAGCCTAAGGAAGATGAACTTTCCATGTGTTATTTCATGCAGACACTGGAATTATAATTACTGTGTTGATTCAACTGAAACTTTTATTTTTTGTTTCAGGAGAGACTGTACAAGGGGGATTCCAGATCGAGATGGGCAGGTGCGTTACAAGCAAATTACTGCTTCAGTTAAAAATCAAGACAAGCTGACCTCATAGCAGAAAGGACACAGTAGGCCAAAGCACAAACACAATAATTTCAGCTGAGATACTTAAGCAGAGCTAATTTTGTGTGCTAATGAACAGAAAGTAAATTATTAGGTTACCTGCTTGCTGGGGTGGTAGCCTCAGATGTAGTCAAGAGGAAACCTCTGAGTGGTGGGAGCATTTTTTCAGGCTGGTATGTGGCAGTAAAAGCTTTTTGATTGACTATCTTGGGTATTAAGAGAGAGCTGCTGTACTTACTTAGCTGGCAAAGGATGCCATTTATCTAATTTAAACAACTAATGCCATAATGAAACAAGGCTGTAAAAGGACAGGTGTGAAAATCAATGCCACAATGGGATTCAATTTCAGAAGACGGGTAGGAAACAGGCAGATATTCTATGGAAGAATTTAAAGAAGCCAAGAATGTAAACCTTAAAAAAACCTACCAAGCAAAAAATATCTCTCCCACCAGCGAACAGCACAAAATAAACACCTGGAGTGAACCATGCCCAACAACAGAACCTGTAAAAAACGAGACAGCTATTTTTTTCTGACAGCTCATAGAAAACAACATCCAAAAAGCCAAATTTTTGCAATCCTAGAAGAAAACTTGTGTTGGTTTTTAGCGTGACTGTGTCCTGTTTGCCTTTCAGCACTACCCAGACGAGCGGCACGGGGGGCCTGAGCGTCACTCCCGGGACAGCTGGGGTGGCTACGGCTCCGACAGGAGGATGAGTGAGGGAAGAGGGATCCCCCCACAAACCCGGTTAGTGCCTGGCAAATCAGGGAAGTGACTGGGGGCTCTTTACATTCCCTCAGTGAACCTTTGAAGGGCGACAGCAGAAGCAGCTTGACAAGTGTGAATCCTCTCTCCAGATCTTTGAGCATCTGCAGGAGCAGGGAATTGCCACGTGTAGCTCCCACGTGCCTCGGGAGAGTGAAGCATTGTAGTGAGTAAAGAGCTGCTCAGTTAGCTCAGCTCCTGGCTGTGCTTCTCCTGTAAATAACTTTCATTTCTACAGATGAGATTCAGTCTGTTTCTACAGATGCCCCAGTAAGGCCTACACAAGTCTCATTCCTGGCCACTGGTCAGGTTTTAAAGGAAATTGAGTGAGAAGTCTCTGCAGTAGTGGGGTAGAGAACTTGGACTGACCTGGAATTGTAGTGGTTTCTCTTTAAACCAGTTAATCCAGCTGGGTATTTTCCAGCTATATAATTTTCAGACAGAGGAGTGGCAGCCAATGAATTGATCCATGCCCAAGTATTTCAGTCCATTGCAATATCCATGATGTGTCTGGATCAAAAAAGACAAGTTTTGTTGTGTGAAGGATGCTGTTCAGCAAGTGTCTGTCATTGTTTCTCTTTGACCAGTTCTGATTGCAGTGATTGGGTGGCTACAGCTTTAGCTTGATTAACCATTTAACACACTTTGGCATGGGGTATGGTGACTGGCTTTACCCTGTGCTGCTCAGTGGGTAGCGGACATACCTAGAAGATGTTCTTTTATTTTTTTAAGAGATGGACGTGACTGGGGAGATCATGGTCGAAAGTTAGAGGGGCATCAAGATCGTACATGGCAGGGAAATGTGGATGGAGGAGTGATGGGACGGGATCATGAGAGATGGCAAGGTACACTTGCTGCTTACCAGTGTGATTGTGGTTCTTTTCTGTCAATTACTGCTGCTGAACCTTCTAGTGGTAGTTAAATTACTGAGAAATCAAATGAAATTCTGGGAACAAGGTGACATATTTATTAGGGAAACACAAAAACCTGTATTTTTCTTTTTTTTTTCTCCTTTTTTTTCCTCTTTTTGGATTAGGTGGTGATAGAAGCATGCCTGGTCAGTCAGGACCAGGCCATGGGATGACTCGAGGAGGGACATCAGGGTAAGAGCCTTTGTCAGAATGCTTATAATGCTTTTATAATACTTTGATCTGTATAAGCCTGGATTGGCAAGAGGAAAAAAACCCCCAACAAATTAAAGAAACACCTTTCAGAGTATAGGAATGTGCCCCCTGTTCACGGAGTGACTAAATTATTGTCTGTTTAAAAAGGCAAAAAGCCCAGAAATTTCTCTCCCTAATTGGTACAAAGACACCTCAGAGAACCTGTTGGACTTCACCTCAGACGTGGGGCTGTCTGATTGGGCAGAGGCCAAGAGGTCTCAGTTGGGTAATTCATTTGAAAAGGAAGAGAACAAAAGGAATAATCACTTTTGGGGCGTGTTTTAGCAGGAGCAAGAACCTCTTACCCCTAGCTCAGTTTTCCTCTGTAAGACCTTTGTTATTTTGCCTTTCATTAAACCTTTTTCTGTTTCCAACACTGTCGCTGTTGAGGTGAGGATGGGAATGAAACAACTCCATGTTCAGAAGGCAAAGAATGATCTGTTTATTCAAAGTACATCTCTCTTTTATAGAGAACATCATGAAGACTAATTTCCTTGGGTTTAGAGTAAATACATTTCACCTGATTGGTACACTGGACTTAGGTTAGTGTGGTAGAACATATCTATAAACAGTATGAGCAGAAAACAAGATCACAGATGGTTTACATTCCTCCCAGGCTTAGACTGGTAGAAATGTTTTTCTCTCTGACTGAACTGAGAATATCCATACAACACGCCCTGCTAGCTTGATGCCATTGGGGGGTAAATGGGGATGTGCTGGGTTCTCTGGGAGCTCCGGGGAGCTCCGGGAGAGCCGCGGCAGCGCCCGACGCGTGCGGTTGGTTGTTGGCAGGCGCGGAGGCTTGGCCGGGAGCCAGGGCCAGGCGCTGCAGGGGATCCCCGGTGCGTTCGCAGCCCCCGAGAGGACAAACAGGCTGGGTGAGCCCCGCTTCAGCCGCCGCTACTGACGGCTCCTGTACAGAAACGGGGTTTTTAACCTCCGACCCACTGCGGTGGTGAGTTTTATCAACCCAGACTCACCGTGAGTTTGTGATTCTAAAAATGCCAGACTGCTGCTGCGCTGTAGCCAAATACTGTGTCAACTTGGTTTGGGGTTTGTTTGGTTTGGTTTGGGTTTTTTTTTTTTGTTTGTTTGTAATGAACATGGTGTTGGTCAAACATCGCTTTTAAGTTTCTGTAAGTGAAACATTCCATTTTTCAAAAATAATAAAATCGGTTTATGGCTGCTGTTTTTTTTCTGTTTCTGGAGTCTTTGGTGACCTCATGAGAGGTTTAAAAATCATTAAAGAGACAGTCTGCTTTTAGCACTGTGAGCTTTGAAGATCCCAGGTGTCACTGTGCTGGGGATAGCAGCGAGTCCCTGGTGTCGCTGTGCTGAGGACACCAATGAGTCTGTGATAGATCTGTGACATTGTGGATGTGGAAGGGCCTGGCAGACCCTGCCTGACCTTAATTATTTCCTTTGTGCCATTAAGTTTAAATATTCTTTCTGCACTTCCATTTTAGTTTTCTGTCATTTTGGGAGTAGAAGGAGGAGGAAGAAAAAGGAGGAGGAAGAAGGAAAGCTGGGAAAAAGGGGGAAGGAGAGAGGAGGAAGAAGAAGGAAGGAGGCCTAAAAAGTAGGATTGAGTTCAGTCTAGGGGTCAGTACTCACCTTGTTTACCTCCCTCTGATGCTGATAGCCTGCATTGCTTGTTGCTTTGCATCTTCAACATAAAAACCTAAAAGCCAAACATGAGAATACTCCCAGGGTCAGAAGTCACATCTTCTCCCCACCTCAGCAGCATCACAAACACCTCGGGGCCACAGGTCGGGCAGAAAGTGCCCCACATCCCCTAGGCACTCTGGGGATGCTGAGGGGAAGGAGAAGACAGGAGGAGAGACCAAGAGCAGGTGTCCCCTGGGGCCGTGCTCACAGGTTTGGGGTGATGTCACAGTGGTGGAGCCCCTCAGGCACAAATTTTAATTCTTCCTTCTCTTCCCTATGGCCTATCTTTGTTTCTTCCTTTCACCTCTGGCTTCTTGTTCCTGTGTTTCAATTTCTCCCTTTAAAACTTCTTATTCATACACATACTTAAAAATAATAATAATCTATATAATAATGAGGGTTATTTCCAAATAACCTTCTTCATTTACTGTATTCCACACAGAATTTTAGAATGTAAGGAATTCTGAATACAGATACATATAGGTCTTGAGCATAGAGATAGAAATTTTGTATATATATATAAAAATGAACATAAAGGCCTTGAAAATGTAAGAATATCGGTTCTATAAGGAGGAAATAGAAGTTTCTGTATTTCTTTTTTCCTGTCTCTAAATGAGATTTTGGCTCGATTTAAATCCCTGTCGCCGCCTGGCGGTGAGCGTGAGGAACTGCAGGGTTCTGGGGGCTCGCTGAGCCGCCTCCTGGCTGAAGGTGGTACTGCAGGGCAGAAACAGGCGCGGTGACAGCGGGATTCACTGGTGACAGCGGGACTCACTGCTGTCCCCAGCACTGTGACACCGGGACTCACTGCTGTCCCCAGCACAGCGACACTGGGACTCACTGGTGTCCCCAGCACAGTGACAGCGGGACTCACTGGTGTCCCCAGCACAGCGACACCGGGACTCACTGGTGTCCCCAGCACAGTGACAGCGGGACTCACTGCTGTCCCCAGCACAGTGACACTGGGGATTTGCTTTTGTCCCCAACACAGCGACCCTGGGGACTCACTGCTGTCCCCACCACAGCGACATTGGGGACTCACTGGTGTCCCCAGCACAGTGACAGCGGGACTCACTGGTGTCCCCACCACAGCGACATTGGGGACTCACTGGTGTCCCCACCACAGCGACATTGGGGACTCACTGCTGTCCCCAGCACAGTGACACCAGGGACTTGCTGCTGTCTCCAGCACAGTGACACTGGGGATTTGCTTTGTCCCCAACACAGCGACCCTGGGGACTCACTGCTGTCTCCAGCACAGTGACACCTGGGATTTGCTATAGAGGGATCCACCAAAGCCATCTGAACTCCTGCTGAAGGCAGGAAGGTGTCCCAGGAGCTGGCATTCCCACTGTGGGTGTTCCATAAGGGATCCCAGCAGGATCCACAGGGACCCCAGTGACAGCCAGAACTTGACAGAACAGCAGCTGTACAGAAAAAACAACACAGAAAAGTTCATTGGCTGAAGGGCAATATTCCACACAGGAAGGAGTGTGGGCTTGGTTTGGTTTTTTTTGGGAAACTCACCCATATTCCCATCAATTTATAGGAGGTCTAAGATAGCAAAAAAAAAAGCTGGGTACCCCATGGGTATCTGCTCACTGTAACATCTGTCACTTCAGGGTTAACAAATTCATTTCACTGCCCTGGAGCATCACCACAAAGAGATTTCAGAATTATTTTTAACAGCTCACAGCACAACCCAGAAATTTAAGCCTTGGAAAAACAAAAGTTTCCCTTTACTTATATTGCACCTGTTTCACAAAGAGCCACATGGCAGAAGTTTTTTATGCTGCATCAAAAAAAAAAAAAAAAAAAAAAAGGGTTTGAACACAGATTAGAAAGGAAAACTGAGCTTTGGAAATCATCACGAGTTGACCCCAAAATACCAACACTATTTTTACATGTCACTGTGCACTTACAAAGCCTAAGTCTTGCCTCAATTTTATTTAGCATTCAGTTATTTAAAAACCATAAGCATTTTACCAGATGATAAAGATACTCTTACCACCACTGGGTACTAAAATTGAACCTATGGGGGGAATATTTTTAAAGAGCACCAAATCCTCTTTGGAACTACCACCAGAAAAGCCACGTGGAGTGGGGAGAGATTGGTTTTCTTATTTCCACAACTACCCAGGGCTGTTTGGGGAAGAAGTTTTGCAATGCTGTGATGTATTTATGTGTAAAAAATACATAGTGAAAATCAAAATATCTCATGGGAGTCCAGTTCTAACACTGGTTACAACATTTGTGTGTGAGAACATCCACCCAACTCCTCACCAGTGGCCATTATGACACTCCCAGAGCTTCCTGCAAGGAATCAACCCCAACCCCTTGGCTTTGATTTAATAACAGGGTCATTGTACACAGTTGTGTAGACTTTGCCCTCTTTATTCCAGCTTCTCTGTCCTTTCTGCAGCCCTATGTACAGAGTCAAACACGCCACTCATTTACAAACCAGCTTAAAACAAACACCTCACTTGGCCACACAAAAAAAACTTGCAGAGGTCCAAGATTAAAATGTTTATTCCAGCAATGTCAGGAAGCTCCTTTCCCTGAATGTGGGCAATATTGCTTAAGGACTGGGATTTGGGATCCAGCAAAAGCACCCGGTGTAACCTGACAGTTTTAATTACAGTTTGCACCACACCCAACCGTCCCTGCTGCCCACAGGCCTGGCTGCAGCAGCAGGAGCTCTCCAGGGAACACATTCACTCCCTGGGCTCTAAATGGACCCATTATCCTCATGGGATATCCTCATTTTGGGCCAGTCCCTGCAAGCACAGGAGTTCTGTTTCAGAGACAGGAGTGAGCCCCAGACTGGAATTTGGGACAGTTCTGAACAGAAAACCCTCAGCTGCTGCCAAGACTACAGAAAAAGCTGAGCTTAAAAGCTGCCCTGGTAAGTGTGCAAGGCAAGCTTACTCTGAAAACACTTGCCAGAAAAGTGTTTGGTTATGTTTTTTAAAAGGAAACAAATCTGAATATATTTAATAAAGTCTCTGATCTGGTTTTTATTTACTCCCCATAGCAGCTGAGGTTGCAGGAACATGGCACAGCAGAGGATGGACAGATGAACTCAGAGGATGCCTGCACATCTCAGGGGCCCCACTGCCACTTTTTTCCTCATATTTTACCTCTTGTGATGCAGAAGAATCACCTCAATTTTCCAAAAGGGAAACTGAGGCACAAAGACCACAATTCAGCATTTGCAGGAATTTACCAGGTCACAGCCAGCTCCCTTTGAAAGCAGCTGGAGAACTTCAGCCCCTGCTGACAATCTCAGCCTGAATCTCTCATCCTCAAATCAGAGTCAGCACATAATCCAAATCCAGAGTCCACCAAATCCTTGTTACTTGTAGGTAAAAGCATTGAAATGTTGGGAAATGAGCTCTAGAAATACACATTTGGCATTTTCCCTGTATTAAAAATAAGTAATTATACAGACATTAATACTGGAACAGGCAAAAGAAATTTCATCTGAAGGAAAGATTTCTTCATGACCTTGATTGGGACAGATTCATTTAGATTTTCCACCAAAATTTTCAACTAGCATGAACACAATGAACTCCAGTCAAGGCAAGAAGTTCTGCTCACACACAGCTGCAGCACTTTTAACCCCTGTCTTGAGTTTCAGAAGGACCATTTCCTCTTTTGGACTCTGGTGGACGGCTGTTCATGTAACTACCACCCCAGCAGCCAAAAGAATAAGTTCAGCTTGATTGTGCACTTAAAAATAAATCCTTTATTATCCAGAAAGGAGCCAAATCATCATCTCACATCATGGAAATGGTCATTTTAAAGCAATAAATAAGAGGTGTGTTCTATGACACACCCTGGATTTTGTCACTGGTGTCTGGTACCTCTCTGGTTAAAGCATAAAACTTATGCTAGCAAAGTCTCACTGTACAACAGTCTGGGAAGCAAGGAAGGCCCTAAAATCTTTTACTAAAGCAACAACAGAAAAATTCTGATTCAGTGAAACACAAGTTCCAAGTTGGGTTTCACTTCATTCCAAGGAATTTTACTCCAGGGAAGGAAAGCCAAGTTTCATCCCTTCCATGCACAAATGCAGTACCTGACACACACAATCACCTTGTCTAGAATTCATACTGGATCAGTTCTTAACCATAAATTATCTGTTTACTTCTGATTCAGTTTTTCTTTCATTTCCTATTCGAGCCAGGGTAGTTGCAGGAACAGCACAGGATACAAAATTTAACTTCTTTCAGCAGGAAGTGGAAGTCAGACTAAATCCACACAGCTACTCCAACAGCAGTAATTAAGACATTTTAAAAACCCAAACAATTAGGGACTAAAAAGTTTTAAGAAACAATTAATAATGATGATTGTTCAAATCAATGCATTCAAAACATGTAAGAGAGCATAACTTATGCATAAAACAGAACAAAACACCTTTCACCTTTCAATTTTTAAAGCAACAAAACAGTTTTGAAAGAACAGGTGTGAAGCAAGTAAAAAAATAAAATCATATTATTCCAAACACTTTTATTTGTGAAGGAGTTTCCTGCATGGCCAGGGGATAGCAATGTCTGGAGTTACAGGACTACATGATTCAGAAAACAAGGATGATTTTCAGCTGGGCTTGGTTGTTCTTTGCCATGACCAGTGATTTGGAGAACTGTGTTTTTCTGTGCCTGAAGCAGTTCTGGGAGGGATCAATCCTTCCACTGCCCACTCCTCCAGAAACACTTCTGCTTTGTCATCCAGGGCTGAAGGCAGAGGCACAAGAGTTGTGAATCCACAAGAAGTTGCACAGATGCTGGAGATGAACTCGAGTTTACCTGCCTGCAGCTGATCCACCTCAGTCAATCCTCCCCAGACAAATCCTGAGCAGCACAAGTACCCCTTGCTTTCACTTCTTCCTGAAAGCTTCATTAAAAGGATCATTGAACCGTTGTTAGAGAACAAGTTAAAGGTGACACTACCAGCATGGAAACAAGATACTGGCCAGAATTCAGCTGCCAAGAGAACAACCAGCTGGCAGACTCTGAAAGGAGCAGTGACAGATGTTCCACTCTGCAGTGACACGTGCACCTCACCAGGATCTGCTCTGTGGGTTTGGTTCCAGTGTCAGGTCTGGCTGTCCCAGGTTTAAAGCTCTGCCCAGCAGCAGCTGCAGGTCCTGCACCACTCCCCTCCACATGCACCCGCCCTGCTGCCAAACCTGCACACTTCAATGGCTTTGTGACATTCATGGATGTACTAAAAGTTTTCTGATAATGCTGGGGACATCTTGATATCACAGTCTGTACCTGTCTGCCAGGATCCTAAATATCAAAACGATTCAGGTTGTAGGATGTTGGATAGTTCTGCCTGTTGTACTGGAAGTGGTCTGTGAGGACATTGCTGCGGCCGTACTGGAAGTCCCCGTGCTGGGTAAAGGCTGTGAGTCCATTTTGGGACTTTTCAGGAGGGTTTCGGTGCCGTTCCAAGTTCACCAGGTCTCCTGTGGTCACTGGGAGCAGCTGCTGCTTCTTTGCCTCTTGGTTTGCATCATATTTTGTCTGGGAAAGGAAGAAAGTTTGTCACAGAATCATTTAGGCTGGGAAAATCCGAGATCAGGCTGGGAAAATCCAAGATCATTGAGTCCAAGCTCTGCCCAGAGCACTGAGTGCCACATCCAGGCTATCCTTGGACACTTCCAGGGATGGGCACTCCAAACCTCCCTGGGCAGGCCCTGCCAAAGCCTGACAACCCATCAGTGAAGGCAGATTTTCTTAGATATCACCTAAGATACCACCTTACACATTCCCATACCCAGAAAAAAGCAGACAGTTCTACAGTCACATCACTTTTTTTGTTAGAGTCTTAAAATATCGGTGGCTTCTAATAAAATCCTCACTCCTCTCACATGCCAAACAAACAAACTGGTCTTTTGCTCAAGAGATTCTGAGTTACTTCCCTTTTCAAGAAAAGCTTAAGATCAAAATTTAATTCTGTGAGAGGCCCAGCAGCTGGTGTGACCCACGTCCTTCACTTGAGCCATGCCCATCCCTCCTCTGCAACGGAGCCTTGTGCCCTCTGTGTTGTGTATTTTTGCTCAAGTAGCCCTTAACTTGTACAAAAACCAATTCAAAGCTACTGGACTGCTTGAGCTGTGTTTCCTGGTGAACAAAGAAGCAGCTGCCTCACCTTGTTGTACAGGAAGACCCCGAGGATGGCTGTCATCATGCCCAGGACGTTGGTGCTGGTGACGGGGTTGCGCAGCATGATCAGGGACACGGTGATCACCATGATCCTCTTGGTGGCATTGGCCACCGAGTAACTCAGGGGGCTGATCAGGTTAAGGATACTGAAGGCAATCACGTTCTGGGCAAAATTACAGAATCCACTGATTATAAGCAGCATCAAGGTCCAGGACCAATGAGACATGGAGCTCTGTGGCAAAGCAAACAGCAGGAGAAAAAAATTATCTCAGGTTTCAGGTAACAACACAAACACAGCCTTGAGGCACTTCTTACCTGCCATGGGAGGGAGGAATGTCTGCACTGAGCGCTAAAGAGGCCCCCAAGCACATTGCCTTATGCAACTCCCAACTCAGAGAAACCAGAGGAGGACATTCCCCACGAACTCTGGAGTGTTTGTTCCTGCCTCCAGCTCCCAACTCCTCAAATTTATGCTGTCCCATAAACTGCCTCTCCTAACCCTGACAAGAATTCTCACAACAAACATTTTGTCAACTCATGTGAAACAATTTGCAGGTGTTTCACAACACTTCCTTCCACACTGACAAGAACTACACTGAAACACTTCAGCGCCCTTTTCTGGCTGGGTGCTGAAGTTTGGTTTTTTTTTTTCCTCTTTTCTTTCATAATAGCAAACAATTCTCCAAATTCAGCACTTACCAAGTCATTCTCTACCAAGAAGGAGGAAAGATCCACCAGAACCCACGTTGGGATCATGAAGAACACAGCGTGGCACCCGAGGATGTTCAGCAACCGAAGATGATGAATTCGGGAATCTCTCAACACCTGACAAGAGCCATTATTGAACAGCAGGTCAGGAAACAGAAACTGCTTTAGGGGACAGGTAAGTTAGGAAAATAAATAAATACCCTTATAGCATTAATTTCCTATTAGAATGACCAAAGAAAAATTGACGGCTCTTTGAAAAACAATGTTTTTTTGAGTGGTGGCTCTTAGTATCAACAAGACATTAAAATTAATAGCTCTACAAAACAGAAACCATTTTGTAACTAAATAGAGCCAAACCACACACTTTAATTTTGTTACTGTAGTTCCAAGGAGTGCCCAGTGTTGACAGTGACTTGTTCAGCACAGAGGAATGATTTGATATAACAAGATACATTAAATGAACTGTTGAATTTAAGCACTATTGAATTGCCATCAGGAAAAAAAAAATCCATGTTGAAGAGTAAAGAAAGAGCTCAGGATAAACTCAATGCTTCAACAGGTAGGAAGAGCTGCAGAGAACACACACACACAAAATAACAAATAAATAACAAACAAAATAACCATCCCTCTGGGCTTGTCTGGCTGCAAAGTGAAAAATACATTTATGTAATTGAAATGACACCCTGTCCTGCTGAAGGGTGACCCAGTGCTGTGACCAGAGCTGGTACCTTCTTTGAGAAGATGTTCTGAAGTGAAAAGCACAGGGTAGCAGCAAGTGCACTGATGAGCCCCCACATGTCAAAGGACAGCTCTGTGACCGTGGCCAGCAGGACACCAGTGATGATGGGGATCAGAGACAGGTACACCTGCAGCAGGGACAGAGGGGTAAATCGCATCTGCTAAGAATTGTCAGCCGAGTTTATGCATCCTGCTGATTCAGGGATCAACCCTTTTACTATTGTAGTCCAAGGAAATTAAAGTCACTGCAATAGACACTGACAACTCCAGTGCATCAGACAGCATCACCCTGGTCATTGCTTAGATGTGTTTTACCCTCACAATAAAAGGAAAAGGAATTTTTCAAATCTGCATAATCTAATTCCAGTCACAAAATCCACCCAAAGCCTGAGCTCTGCTGCCCCCAGCCAGCACAGCACCTCCAAGAAAAGAAACCTCAGCAAACCTGTCCGCACCTTCGTCGTCTGCTTTTCCTTCATGATGATCCGTGAGAGCAGAACCACCCAGATCGGCATCGTGGCTTTCACTGGGGACGGCAAGAAAACATCGCTGGGGACGTGGGACAACTCCAGCAACCAGCACAAGCAGAGGGATGGAGCAGGGGCCCAGCCAGGCCCAGGATGGATCCTCCCTCCCTCTCCCTGTCCTGGACACTTGGACCAACTGGGCCTTGGTGCTCTGGGCACGCACAGGGGCACTGCCCCTGGATCCGGTGCCAGCACACACTGCGGACAGGGGCACAGCTCTGGAAGCCTACAGAACACACAGTGAGCACTGGGACAGCACCCTGGGCACCTGTACGAGCACAGAGTGGGTACTGGGACACTGCAGTGGGTACCCACAGCACACAGTGAGCACTGGGACAGCACCCTGGGCACCTGTACGAGCACAGAGTGGGTACTGGGACACTGCACTGGGCACCCACAGCATACAGTGAGCACTGGGACAGCACCCTGGGCACCTGTACGAGCACAGAGTGGGTACTGGGAACTGCACTGGGTTCCCACAGCATACAGTGGGTACTGGGACAGCACCCTGAGTACCTGTATGAGCACAGAGTGGGTACTGGGACACTGCACTGGGCACCCAGAACACACAGTGAGCACTGGGACACTGCACTGGATTCCTGTACGAGCACACACCAGGCTTCAGGTCACCCCACCGGGCACGAATCCACGCTGGCCCCCAGGACACCCCCGCGGGCACCTCCCCACGGGCACAGCCGGCGCTGGGCCATCCCCCCGGGCACCCCGCAGCCTTCACCTGTGTGCGCGTAGGACACGGGGACCCTCCAGAGCGAGACGTGCGCGGACACGGAGGCGAAGTACTTGCCGAAGGCGAGCGGGAGGATGTAGCGGGGGTAGGCGCGGGGCGGCAGCTGCGCGGGGCCGGCGGGCGGGACGCGCCAGGCGCGGAGCAGCGGCGGCAGGAGCCCGCACAGCCCCAGGATGTGGAACAGCGAGACGGTGACGGGCCGCGGGAAGCCGCCGAGCAGCAGCTTGTTGACCACGTTGCCGCCGGCGCTCAGCCCGTACCAGGCGAGGCACAGCGCCGACACCCGCGCCCCCTCCCGCAGCGCCGGCCCGCGCCCGCCCCGCGCCGCCCCCGCCCCGGGCCCGGGCCCGGCCCCGGCGCCGCCCGGAGCCGCCAGCGGCGCCGCCATCGCTCCGCAGCCGCCGCCGAACGTCAGCGCGGCCGCCAGCGCGTCGCTTCCTGGGGCGGGGCGGGCGCGGCGGCACCGCCGCTCCGAGCGTCACTTCCTCCGCTCCGCCCGGTCGGTCCCGGTCCGCCCCGCTCCGCCCGCTCCGCTCGGTCCCGCTCCGCCCGGTCCGGCCCCGCTCTGCCCGGCCCCGCTCCGCTCGGTCCGCCCCGCTCTGCCCGGTCCCGCGCCCGCTGCCCCGGTCCCGCTCCGCCCGGCCCCGCTCCGCTCAGTCCCGCTCCGCCCGGTCCGGCCCCGCTCCGCCCGGTCCGCCCCGCTCCGCTCGGTCCCGCGCCCGCTGCCCCGGTCCCGCTCCGCCCGGCCCCGCTCCGCCCCGGCCCCGCTCCGCTCGGTCCAGCCCCGCTCCGCTCGGTCCCGCGCCCGCCGCCCCGGCCCCGCCGCGGGGCGATGGAGCCCGAGCGTTCCCATTTGAACCGGGACGCGGCGCTCGGGGCAGCGGAGCCGCCCCAGGGCAGCGCCGGGACTCGGACACCGCCGCGCCGGGCAGGGACGGAGCGAAGGTCACGGGCTCGGAGGCACCGGGACCGTCGCTCCCGACCTTTAAAACTAACGGCAGGAAATTAGCGGCGGCCGGGGTAAAGGATGGGTGAGTACCTGGCAGGCAGGAGGGGTTGGTGTAGAGCCCGGCTCGTCCGTGCACCCTGTCAAGAGACATTTCTACAGAATTAATTTGCCCATAAAACCACGCATTTTAGGTAATGGCGACTCCCCAGAGATTTGTTGATGAGCCATTTCATGTCATCTGTTGACAGGGAAGAAATGGCAGTGTTTTAACTTCAGGTTTTAGGATTAGAAGGAGAAATTTTGAGCGAGGTAGGAAAAGGCAGTAGCAGAGAAACTGAGTCATGCACAAATGAGAGTACACAGCAGGTACGCACATGGTAAACTTCATTTGAACTTGTTTACAAAATTGACAAAAAAATATCACCTTGTAAACTTATTCACATTTGTTGGAGCTCACAGAACTGGTTATACTGGCATGCTGAAATAAAGATTGTCAAGCCTCATCTCACCCTGGAGGACACACAAGTGAGTTGACCCCTTACAGCAGCAACAAACTCAGCAAGGAACAAGATTTAAAGCTTGCATTGGGAGGGAATTTCTCCAGCAGTTTTTGTACCACCAGGGAAAGGGCTGGGTCTGATTCCTGGTGCTTCCTCCAGGAGAGGAGCACCAGCACAGGCAGTTTGGGTGGAATCTGAAAGCTGCGATGAGCTTTGGATATCACCTCACCCAGTGCAGTCAAGGGCCATCAATTGCATCAGAAATGGAAGCGGTGGAGAAAAAGATGGAATTTATCAAGTAAAACTTCATCATTTCCTGAATTCAAAGGCCTCCAAAGAGCACGGACCCTGTTCCTAAATGGGACCATTCAGGGAAGGAGGGAGGAAGGGCAGGGGGAGATAAGATGCACAGTACTTTTTTACATAAACAAAACTTAAGCATTTCCAAAATGACCAGCAGCTTAGCCCTCTACCATCACATCTGAACTGCAAGACAGAAACTTGCCCCAGCTCTAAACCACACTGCTCAACCTCAGCAACTGCAGAAGGACAGAATGGAAGTAAACTGAAAATATACTTGGACGCATTTTTTGGTAACCACTTCTGGTTTCACTCTCAGACCTCAGATTTCAGAAATGGAAGCACACAGACATTGTTATTTCTGAGATACCCACACATTTCAGTAACAGTCAGATCATAAATTATGAACAAGATTGACTTAAAAATAAACCAGACTTCATCAGTTGTATTCCAGGGAATGGACCAACACAATGCTGGCCTGGCCAGGAGCACCTTCCTTTGAAAGTCAGGGAAGAGCCTGACTCTACCCTCAAAGGCAGGACAGCTCTTGCCAAGGCACATCTCCAGCACAGATGGGTTAACAGAGTTAACATCACTAAACCCAGGAATATTTTTGGTATAGAGTCCCCTCCCCGACCCCCTGAACAGAAGCCCAACACTGGGGACTGCATCAAACAACACAGCCCCAAATATTAAAGCAATTACAGTTAATAGAAATCCTTCACTTTCTACACCCCAGGCTGCTTCAGAAAGCACCGTAACGAATAGGAACAAAACATTACAAAGTTGAAATCTGATCTCTTTAGACTTTGAGGTACATTATCAACAGTTGGGTTATCAGTCTCCAGGGTTAAAACAGATCCACCCTGTGTGACTGGACAGCACACGGAGGTTCTTGGAAGACAATCCCGTTCTCCCTACCAGCAGTGTCCGAGGGATTCGGCTCCACCTCCCTGCTCCGAGGGGTCCCCAGTGCCAGGGCTCCCCTGGCTGGGCTGAACTGAGCAAACTCGGGGTGGGGGGAAACAAGTGGAGTATATATAAATAATTCACAAACTGGTTTGTGCAAATTTTTTTTATTTCCACATTTATATCACAACGTGTCCACTTAAAGGACCAAATAGCAAAGTTGCTCCCTTCTGCATCCCAGGAACACAGAAGTCTAGTTACTGTACATTCACTAAGGCTCTTTGTTTTTGCAAATTGCGTTTATGATGGATATCCATAAGGCAAACAATATCTAAAGGAATGGTAACAAGTATATTTCCAGCATACAAACAGGCTTCCTTTTTCCCTCTCACAGTACAGTTACAAACTTGTAGCACCCTCATTACATTTAGATTCTAGAAAAGGTGATTTTTCTTTTTTTTTTTTCTTTCTGTCTTTTTGGTTTTTTTTGTCTTTTTGTTTTTTACCTATAAGTTTGCAGGAAGGGAAAAGGAGGAAAAATATTTGGCTGGTGGTGGTGGGATCAAAAAATATCATTAAACATCTAGTTTTTGCAGCATTTCTCAGAGACTGGATTTAAACTGAAACCAGACTAAAATATGTGGATGCCTATGGAATGTTGAGCTGAAGCTGGTGGCCCAGCCTGCAGTGCAACACCTGCTGTTTAAAACCCAATCTCCGTACCACATGACTCTTAAATAACTCAATCATGTTCAGAGATGTGATAGAAATAAAACTACAGTTTTTGCACATTGTCTCTCGAATATCTCACTGCCAAATAAAAACCCAAATCAAGTCAAATAAATAGATGCATATTTTGTTAAGGTAACTTCCACAATTTTTCTCTGTACCTGCCTGTAATAAGATTCCGGCATTCAGAAAGTGCTGGAAATCCTCTTCACTTCTTGGGGACTAACACTTTTTATAGCTGGCTTGCTATAGAGTTTAGAACTCAACTGATCAAACCTTCGTATGCCTTCCTTTGCAATTGTTAGTAAACTGGTAGCAGCATTTCACAAAAGGAGAATTTAAAGGAACGAGCTGGAAAGGCCCAGCTCCCTCCCCCCCTCTCTGCTCGTGGGGCCTGTTTGTCCAGGACAGGAGGCTCTCTCCAGCTGGAAGTGGCATCGTGTCTGCCAGTTCTGCTAAGTGCAGGTGTAAAAAGCGTGCTTAGCAGAACTGCTCTCAGTCTAGGCAGACGTAAGGCAGGATGTTCAATCTCCCATCATCCCCGTGTGGATCTAAGGATATGCACTGTGTCCAATCATACCAGTTACCCTGTGTGTCATAACAACCGTTCACGCCTGGCCAGTTGTGGTCACGTATTCTGTCGAGGTCATCGCCCGTGACCTCTCTGGTGACCCCAGGCAAGTCTGTAGGTTTGCTGTTAGGAGCTAGAACGTGAGTCTTTCTAGCCTCTTTTCTAGTGCTTTCCTCCTGCTTTAAATACTCAGACATGAAGTAGTGAGCTCCTGGAGTCTGTACTCCTGATGAAGACAGCAAGCTACTCTGTCTGTTTAAATATGACTGAATGATTTCATTTCTGGACAACTCTTTCCAGTTCGTTTGTTCAAAGGGGCTTTGCAGGTTAGGTTTTTGCTCCTGCTTTTCTGTTTCTGTCCTGTGCTGTTCAGTAAGTGCAGGGATTTCTACCTGCAAAGGATCTTTCGGTGTTAAAGGTTTTATCTGTCCTGTCATGGGATCAAAAGTGAGTTTTCTCTCTTTTAACCTCACAGGTTTCACACCCCCTTCTATCACGTGCCCATCCAAGTTGACTGTATAGTCTCTGGGTCGGTACCTTTTCTTCTTTTTGCTATCAGACCCTGAAGCAGCATCGTCACTGTCCATTCTGGAAGTGTCCTGCGGGAAGCCCATGTGTGATTCCCCGGGGTGGGCTTTGCAGCCGGGAGCCGTGTGCTGCTGAAGTGTCCCTGCTGTGTGCCTGTGCTGGCCCTCGGGGGCTCCCTGCTGCTCCTGCCAGTGCTGCGCCGCCTCGGGGGCCGCCTGAGGAGGGAACTCCAGTCTCTTGGCTGGCACGGGAGGTGAGGATGGCTGCGTCAGGGACGGCGGTGGCGACGGCACCGGTGCGGCGTCTGCGAACTGAGACCTCTGAGATGGACTGGGCATCGAATCCTTTGGTGAGTACGTGGTGTGCTGCCGAGCAAAAGTATCATGCCTAACGTTCCTGGGGCTAAAGGAGGAGCAGCGTGGGCTCTTGGGCTGGTGGGGGCCCGTGGCTTCTTCTGATTTATCATGCTGCTGAAGCACTGCAGTCTTTAGTAACGAGGAAGTGCTTGAAGGTTTTACAAGTCCTGGAGAACTGGTGTGAGGTTTTACAGCATTTACTGGGATCTTACTGTGTTTATCATTTTCACTGAGATCTGTCCTGCTGCTTTCAGGCCCTGCGTGTAGGTTTATGTCTACAGGACTAGGAAAATTTTCAGGACTACCTCCAATTCCATTGGTTGGAGGGGGTGAAGAGTTTTGTAATACTTCATGACTAGCTTTGGAGACCTTTGGGGGAGGAGGGCCCTGATGCCCGTCCCTGTGATCACCTTTCCTTTTCCTATTTCCCAGTTTCTCTGCTTTTGGAGAATTTAGTTTCTGGATGTCATTCCTGCTTTTCAGTTCGCTGATGGGCTTGGCGCCGGGCACAGCAGGAAGTTGTGAGTCTGGTTTGCAGTTGTGAGCACCTCCATTCGCTGATCCCGGCGGGTTGGGCAGCCCCCTTGGCACTGGCTCGTTCTGGGTTACGGGTTCTATCAACTTCTGCCAATTCCTCAGCAACTTCTTGGCACGTTTGGCAAGTTCCTCATTGGATGTCTTCTTCCTCACCTCATTGATAAGCCTCCCAAGTCTGGTTTCCTACAAAGACAGACAAGGTGGTTTACAAACATGTAGCATTCCAAGGAAAATTCTTAAGGAATGTTTCTGCTTTGTAATGCTCACCCCTGAGAAACACCTGGTTGAAAACACTAAAGACTTAAGTGTTGAATTAATCTTTTTGGAAAGGATTAGTCCAGTGCTCTGCACTGAAACTGAGTGTAGGTTTCAAGTCATGCTGTCTTTATTTCCTGGTAAAAGCAGGAGAGGTGGGAAAAACATCAGAAAGGAAATCTTTAATGAGAAAAGACCGTAAGAATAAGGGTGCAGGTTCAGATTCGAGGGGAAATGCAGCACCCAAAGGTGTGTGTTTATCACAAGGAAATATAAGATCTGCAGAGAGAGAAAGAGAAAAGAATTCCAGGATCTCTGCCTGTTACAGTAACTCGTTAAAAATAAAATGTTCCATTTGACAAACCTGACTACCAGGTGTGAGTTGTGTCCTACCTGTTTCCTCCACCTCTCTCCTCTCCCTTCACTTCCCAGCCTTGTGGAAACGTATGAAAAAGCCATTTAAACAACATTCCCAGGGTGTCCCAAGGTGGTTTCATGAGCGGAAGGAAGTGTTTGATTGTTCCCAAAGCACATTGGAAAACAAAGAACTGTTCCACAAGTCAGATTTCTTAAGAAAAGTACTTCAAAGGAGAACACAGACCAGACTGTGAGAGAAATATGCAATCTGTTGTCAAAGATATGTTGAAATACAGGTGGAGTTGTAATTAAGCAACAGTTAAAAGCAAGAACACTGCTAATTTCAACGCAAAGAGTGAAAAATAAATACATAATTCAGCCATAAAACTTCTTTGGACTGTTTCCACGAGTGACCAGTGAGAGTTCAGCTCTCCCTACACCTGACCTCACCACAAATATCAGGCCTTGAAACCTGCTTAACTGCATTTAAGATTAATTTTACAGACCCAGAGCAACTCTATTCCTATTTCAGATTTTAGGTGCTTGGTCACCAAATGTCTGCAAAGGTGACCGGAACTGCAGGGTGATATTGCTGAGTGCAAGAGAATTAATCAGTGGCAAGTGATGATTAATGTAGTGCCCTGCACAAACAGGAACTGTGCTGCCCAGAATACTGATCTGGGCCCAGAAAGGATCCCTGTGTTCAGCGAGATGTTGGAAACAGCACGAGAGGGACAAAATAATATCTTAATTGTGAATCCTTTGCAATCCATCTATTGTTTCCAGAAAAACTCAGATGGAAATTAGAAAGGCAGGAAAAAGTCCTTTTATACACATAAAAAAATCATGTTCAGAGGGTGACATACCTCAAGTGCCTCTTTGGTAATGGGATATTTCTCCAGGCTGGAGATCACTTCCAGCACTGCCACCATGTTATGGATCTGCAACAAGGAAGACAAAGTCACTTCATGTTTCATGTACTGGTCTTAGTTAACAAATGTAATTTAAGACCTTCCACTTTATAATTGCTGGAAGCATTAATCACAAACTGCTATCAGACTGTCTGGCTTTAGGGAGCTGATTATTCAAGGAATAGGGACAAGGACACTTTTACTGACCTAGTTGAAAACTGCAGGAGCTGTAACAAACACGCTCTTATGTAAAACCCAAAGAAACAGTGGCAAAAAACTGCTGTGACTGAGTAACAAAGTTCTGAGACCCCTCTGCAAAGCCTCAATGAACTGTGCACACCTAACGGGAACAAGCGCCAAGTGGAGCAGGAGCAGGAATGGGAAAGGTGGGGCTCAGTGCTGCAGATGTACCCAAGCATTGCTCTGCAGTTCCATTCCAGAATCACCTCCTGCACTGCACACTGCAGTCCCAGCCTGCAGCTCCCTCCTGGGCAGGGGCTGTGCCCAGCAAGTGTCCCCAGACTACCAGCCCCAGCCTCAGCCACCCCACCACCCCTTGCTGGGGCTGGACATGGGGAGGAGGAACTGCACTACCCCACATCCCCTGAAAAGGTGAGGATCAGGTTCTCTGATCACAGCTGTGCATCCTGCACATCCTCAGCACACGTGTGATTTTAATGGTTTCCATCACAAACCACACACTGCACGTTTTAGGGGCTTGGTTTAGGGGCAAAAATGGCAGTGCTGGGTTGGACTCATTCATCCTGGACTGCTTTTCCAACCCAAACCAGTTCATGATCCTATACAGAGATCCTTGTTTCCATTACCTGATGTTAAGAGTGCTGAAACCTGGAATTTCTAATTCACCTTTGGAGATAAATTTAAAAGATAAGCAAAGGAAAACTTGAATCACACTCTCATTTATTGCTTAATTGCATTTGTGACTCAACTGGATGTGAAGTGCATGTGAGAAAAATCTCTCAGCAAGAACCTCTGCAGGGATCCCACATCATCCTGAAACCTCATCAGGAGCATCATCATCATCACCAGGCAGCTCTGCCCCCCCAGCCACACATCCCCTGCATGACCCCTCCTCTTAAAAACACTGACTTGTGTGAGAATTGGCTTTTCCAAGTCAGTTCTACCCCTCCACTGAGATCCCACAGAACACCAGGAGCTGAAGTCTCCTCCTTTCAGTAAACCTTGGGCTCAGACCATGTTTTATCCATCCCTGCAGGACTGTTTAGTGCTATTTAGGAGTTTAATGTTATTTAGGAGATACCTGGGTAACACTGTCAGTGATGAAACACTTGTCCTGATTTTTTTTTACTCACTTTTATCAAATTTATGTTTAAAGTCCATGCAGACTTTGAATGATTCTTACTCCTATAAGGTGTAAAATCAACTCCAGGCCAAAGATGAATGAATTTGTCCTGGTTCTTTCTCCACTCTGCAGACATTTGAAGCCCTACCATGAGGTCAGTCCTGGTAAAACTCTGCTTAACCTTTAGAGCAGCAAGAGCACCTATTCTGACATATTTTAGTTCTTATTATTTCACTTCAGTGCACTGACTTTCTTCCATGTTCTGACCCTTGCCCTGCCCTCAGAGCCCAGGAAGGACAGTTTAGCACCACAGTTCAAGCAATACACAACATCAGCTCAATTCTGGGAGTTTCCAGACAAATATTTTTAAACTTGCAAAACACGATACTCTCCTTCCCAACACATATTTTAGACTGTGAATTACCAGAGTGAAAAAGGCACTGTTGTACACGTCATTAACTGGTACAATTATTTTTGCAGTTACTGGTAATCCCCAAATATCCATTATCTAAATGGAGAACTGATGGCAAAAGAAGGGTCGTTGGTCTATCAGAAGGTGAAGATGGGGAAAGTGATACATCATGTGCACACACACCTACAGAAAGGTAAAACTGCTCAGGGAATTTCCAGTCACAGCTTTGCCTTTGTTCAGTACCCCCAGGCACACACCAGTGCAGCCCACCAGCACTGACAGGCTGTGACTTCCCTCCCTGCTCTGGGGGACACGTGGTGCCAATTAAGGACAGTGAAAGTGGCCTTGCACCCTCAGCTCCTGCTGGAACACAAACCACCCATTTTGGATTCCTCACACATTTGTAACCAATTGAGAACGCGCTGTCACAGAGCAACTGCTGAGCAGAGCACGAACATCTCACACCCCAGACAACTGCCAGCAGCTCCTCTCATTTTCCTTTTTTTTTTTTTTTTTTGACCTGTAGGGAAGCTTAATTCTTTGAAAATAAATACATAAAATGTTCAAGCACGTTCAACAACTTCTCCTCCCTTCCCTTTGTGTCGTTTTCTCAGCATGTTCCATCCAAGTGGCATAAAGACAAGCTTACAGTAAAAATCATATTTGCCTATTTTAAAATAACACAGATTATGAAATTTCTTGTAGTGCAGTTAAACACAGTGATGGAAACAAGAGGATCTCCCAAAACACCTCTCAAGTATCACACGTTCATGGGAAGACACTGTAGCGGTAACAGCAGCACACCCATCCTGCACACCAGTGCCTCCACCTTAAACCAACTGCTACAATAAAATTCCTACATTGTCACATAACCAACCTGACAATAATGTTACCAAACCTGCCAGGACAACACCCTGCTTTGAGCAGCACCAGAAATGATCATTTATTATCACAAAGGGCTACTGAAGATGATTATTGGGAACAGAACAGACAGGTAAAGTGCCATGGAGCAGAGCAGGACAGGGAATTCAACCCCGCTCCCTATTGACACCAAGCTGTAACTGCCCAGGTCAGCAGCCCAGGAATTTGCATTTTAGTTTCTATGTGCCTTTGTCTGCTCACACTGCAACCCCTTTAGTACCCCCCAAAACAACTTCCAGGACCCCCAGTTAGGAGCTTACAGCAAAAAGCTCAAAATAATTGATAAGTAATTGATAAGGTGTTGCAAATTCTCCCATGCTGCGCTCCTGTTGAGAGCACTGACTAGCACACAGACCAATTCACTCAGAAGTTTACTGGAGAACATCTGCTTTGAGTCATCCACGATAATCCTTTCCAGCCAACCCTAATGACAGCCACAGAAAACAAATCTTATTTATTCCATGCAAGGCTCCTTAAGTCATCCAGCCATTCAGCCATACTCTGGAGCTTACTATTGCTGAGATATTTTCAAAGTTAAGCACTGAATGCTTTTACTTCAGCCACACACAAAAGTAGGGGTTTCTGAACTCTCAGGAAAAGATCAAGAAGTTAAATTTTCTTTTCTTAACTGCCATCTTAATCTTATTTCAGCATTTATACACCAGGACTAAGTCAGTGGCCAATTTCAGGGTGTTACACAGCAGTTCAAAGGGGTTTTGGGGAAGGTTGAGGTACAGCTGTTCCCTCCCACCTCCACCAGGAAATCCTAAAGCAGCAGCAAGCTCAGCATCCATACAAGCTCTACCACCACTTCCAGGTGCTGGGATGTGTTTTCTGTGGGACCAGCACACTCCATGGGATGTTTTGATCTTCTTCCTTCCCTTACACACCAGCCCAGACCCCAAAACCAACATGAGCACCCCCAGAACACCTCCCTGTCCTCCTGGTCACTGCCTGGACACACTGCACTCTCTCACTGCAGCCTGAAAACCAAATGTTACAGAAACTTTCTATTGCAGACACTCAGATAAAACAATGATTTTCTTTTTTTTTTTTTTAATATTTCACAGGGATGTTTCCAAAGATCTTTGCATGCCTGACTAGACCATGATAAATAACAAACCAGACCAGAGTTACCTGGAGCAGGAAGAGCAGCTCTTTCTGTGTAACATGAAAAACTCAATGCACAATTCCAAAAAAGCCTTGCTCATGCAGATTCCTGCCTTTCAAGCAGAAAGGCTCTTTTCAACCACAAAGTTCAGGTAACAGTGCTAAAAGGCATTGTTTGATACAGTAACATCATCCTTCTGGGTCACATTAATGCCTTCACAAGTTTCTAAACAATACTTAAAATTGGCCTGGAGCTGCCCATCACCAACAATCCTCTAAAACCAAATTGTAACACCATCATCCTCCTGAAATCACAGTTCACAACAATCACAGCCTGATTCCACCATGGGCATGGTGAACAGAGCACACAGGTGTCACAACACACTGCTTTGGAGAGAATGTATTTGCCATCATACTTAACTACTTCATCAGAACATCCATAAACACTGAAAATTTTGATGGTTTCCAATAAAGTAGTTCTGCAACACTGTGCCACCTGTAGCACCAAAGCAGTATGACAGAAGCTAGGAGAGAAGTGGAGACACTGTGGGAGACTGAGCAGGTCTTTTTTCATCCTACAAACACAAATCCAGGTGTCTATTGCCAAGCTGGAGGTTTCTGGTATCAGTAAGGTCCAGACAGAAGTTCACAGGAGCACTTGTACATTTGTTGTCTTCCCCCTGCTCCAGGGCTGTGTATCTCCTCAGGGAGCGCAGGAAAATGCTGAAGAAAATCCCAGGTTCAAGGTGAATATTGGTGGAGAGGCCAGGGAGGCAGAGGTGATTCCCAGGAGGTGCAGTGCCTGCTCCAGGAGCAGTGGCATGGCTGGTGTTCCTTCTCTTGGAGCTCTCAGTGTCACCTGCAGCCCAACAGCAGCTCCTGCCCTAGACAGGGTCTGCCCTCAGTGTCACACCTTGCCCCAACACTGCTTTTGTGAAAGAAAAGCTACTTCACTGCACAATAATCTAAATTATGGAATAAAAAGCGAGGAGAGACAAGTTGCTATTCATAGCAGGCTTTATTTAAATGTGACAACAGCAATACAGTGGTGCAGAGTTTATTTAGCACTTTGTGTAGGAACTATGAGACACCAGACACTGACAATACACACCACCAACAGAAAATTGCCAGGTCATTTGTTCAAAGGTACAGACCAAACACACCAAGTTAGAATTCAGGTTACAACCTGCTGGTATTTAGTTCAGTTCCCTTGCAGCTGATCTATTAACAGTTCCCCCTAGCCCCAATGTGACACGATGTTGTCTAAAGATAGGGAACACGAGCTACTATTCACAGACACAACATACCAAAAAGATGACCATGCACTACTTTGTTCACATTATTGCAAATGTCTCAAAGTCAGTTTGCCAAGCAAAGGTCCAATATTAACCAGTACACAAAAGATATTCTTAAAGGTGGAGGCCAGTTTTCTAATAGTATTTAGTAAAACAGATCTTTAAACATGAAGGAATCCATTATTTGGGTTGAAAGTCATTCACTGGGAGAATCTTCTATGACAGAGAAATTCATGCTTTGAAAACTGATCAGAAATTTGTGCTGCAAAACAAGGGGTAGAAGAAATTCTCCTTGAGTACCACGAACAGTCCAAAGAGCGACCAGGCACAGGAAGGATTATGTACACCTCCAGACTTAAAACTCCCAGGTCTACTTTAAAGAGTCAAACCAATCTGCACATATTTTATTTGTACTTGGGCTTCATTTAATAGCAAAGTAACATCATCCTGCACATGCTTTACAAAGCCAGGATCATCAAAAGAGAGTAAGGTCAGATTCCAATACAATTCCACAGCGCAAAGAAATCGGTGGGCCTGAAATATTTCCCCTGCTCCCTCCTGGCAGTGCCCACACACATCCCTGAGCTGGGCATGGCTGGGCATCCCACAGCAGCCAAGAGAACGAGAGGAGCTTGCCAGCACAAAGCACAGTTTGCCCTGGCACTCACAAAGGGCCTCCAGACACAAATCAACAGCAGCTGGGAGTGCCATGAACACTCCAGCTCTTCTCTGCGTGGCCCATTCCCAGGGAGACACCCAAGGCCCCTGGCACAGCAGGAACAGACTCCAGGCTGGGCCAAGGCAGGGGAAACCACCCAACAAAAGGAGCATCCATTGGAGGAGGATGGTACAAGAGGTAGTAAAACACAGACTATGAAGACAAGACACACCCCCGGTTCCCTATGCTACAGGAAAAGGTTTTTAAGGCAAACAGAAAACAGCAACAGTGAAACACTTTTCTCTATTCACGCTTATTAGCTAGTAACTGAAAGACATTTTTGTTACTACAGAGAGAAATACCTGTTTGTCGACTTCAACAGTTACTAAACATTTTGTATAACACCACAGAATCACGCCTGTAGTGACAACCCTGAGCTGCAGATGTACAGAGAAGATTCACTGCAATATGACCCCCGACTTATTTTTCCACACCCCACAACAAACCCACCCCACCAGACTGTGAAGCTGGACAAATAAAAACTCATTAGCCTGATTTTAAAGAGCCCAGCAGCCAAAGAGGCTACATGAAATACTATTCAATTAGCAAAAATTCCTGCTTAAGGAACAGAGCAAGAGCCGGGGAGCACAACCCCGGGCAGCCACTGCCACTCCTGGTGGCATCCACCACAGCACACTGCAAGAACGATAATTTAGTATTGTTTTCCAGGCTGTAAGGAATGGCAGAGGAATCAAATTCAGCTGGAATTACATCTTCATCTCAAGCTGCAACAGTGCAAGAACAACATACACCAAGAGGAGGTCAGAGGACAGCAGGATAAGCATGTTTTGAAATAAAGTTGAAGTCTTCATGTCACACAGTATTGAAAAAAATAGAAAAGGGACACTTGAAGCTTGAAATAAACCATCTTATGCGTTATTAGTCATAATAAAGAAATGTTAATCAACTGTTTTTATGCTCACTGGCCTAATTTGCAACAAGACAAATACTGATTGCATCTAGAAATAACCAGTGAGCTACCAGTGCACTCAAATAATCTCTCCATAGTCTCCTGAGCCACTATGGAGGTTTAAGAAGAGATTAGACAAGTCCAGAAGGAGCTGTTTCATGAAGGTGATGGACCACATGAAGTCCCTTGCAGCCATGCTCCTACACCTGGGGAATGGCACTGAACTAGAAGAAGCACAAACACATCACACCCATTTCCATCTACTCCAAACTAGACTCAGAGCAGCAATTCAGAATTGTCCTCTCAAAAAGATCCGTACAGGTAACTCTAGGACACAGCTTGTACTGTAAAAGACCTACAAATTCAACACTTCCACCCTCACTGCCCCAGCAGCGTGCTCCACGTGGTCCCAAAAGAAATGCCCAAAGTTTCTCTCCCTGCTCAGGCTCCGTCATTGCTCCCTGTCACCATTTCAGCCACCTCACACTCACCCTCACAACCCCTGCACTGGTGCTAAGCACATCCAACTATGATACAGTTTCCTTGTCTGCAGGATAACCATTTCGCCTCCTCTTCCCCCTCTACAGAAACTTCAACCAGACAAATGTTAGTAGTTACTATTTATTATCAGCCATAAACTGCAGTCCAAAATTATTGCTTCAAAATTTAGAGAGCCATAAAATGAGGTTGCCATGCAAGCAAAGTCACAGGAACAACTGGTCCTACTTCAACAAGACAGAAATGCAGTTGGATAATTATTCAGGCAGAATAACATAGAATATGCAGAAAATCCAGCCTTAAAATGTGCCCCTTCTGATTCATCATGATCTTGGGGCTTTCTGCTTAAGGAACTTACTGTTGGTACCTCCCTAGGTTAAGGTAAGAGACAGGGAGGTACCACAGGACCCCTAAAGGCATCACTTGGACAGAGCCATTCTGTGACCACCTGCTCCATCTTCATCCACTCCAGAGAACTGGTGAGCATTTAAAATCATGTAACGTGCATTTAAGGACTTGATAATAAGGGATCCAGAGCTTTGTGAAGTTCCTAGATATTATTTTACCCATCCCTTTAAGTATCCACTCAGAGCTGTTAACAGAGAGCAGTTTCTATCTGAGTGCAATACAGAAAGGCCCTACTAATGTCCCCACAATACGGAATATTCACTCTTTTCCAAAAAGCAAAACCATTTATCACCATACCAGTGTACTTTAAATGAAGCAGACCAACTTTTCACAAATTTCTAGGGAAGTTTCTCAGCTGATTCCTTAAATGATAGAAGAGACTGAGGTGAATTCAATGTTGAATTCTTTGTGGAATGTTTTAATTCATCACACTGAAGTGCAAGATGCTCATGTGATTGCTCATGAGAGTTTAGGCATAGTGTTTGTTCACTAAATCTGAGAAGAATAGCGTTACAAACTGAGAGAAGTTTGTGGAGAAGTCACTGTATCCTTTCAACAACTGTTACCAATAGTGAATTCTTGTCAGCACACACCATAAACAAGTTTTATGGATATGGAAAAAAAATTGAAATCAAGTTACACATCTCCTAGAATTACTGCTCTCCAAATTCTAGATAAAACACTGCTGCCACTCAGCCATTTCCAAATATCTCTATTCTCTGAAGGCTGTGTCACCTCAGGACAATGTCACCTGTCAGAAAAGCAAAGCCCCCCAGTAATCCCTGGAGAATGTTTGGCCATTCTAGCCACTGGCACAATCCTTAGCAGCTCCTTGGAAACAAAATGCCTTCTCTACCTTTAGCTGGGGAAAAAGTCTTCCCTGGAGGAAGGTAAGCATGGAGCCTTCTCAGCTCAGGGTTTGTAAAGCAGCTCCACTCGAGCCAACCACCCCGTGTGGTCATGGCAGGACCAAGGAACACAGTACTCATCTGCATTTTTTTTAATATTTAAACACAGAACATGGAATTGTGGAATCCCAGACTGGTTTGGGTTGGAAAGGACCTTAAAACCCACCTCATTCCACTCCCCTGCCATGGGCAGGAACACCTTCACTACCCCAGGCTGGTCCAACCTGGCCCTGAGCACTTCCAGGGATGGGGCAGAACATTCATGAAGCTCCAACCTGGCCTGCTTATTTCTAACCTAGTGGCAAACAACTTCTTAATTTCCAATTCAGAAAGCCCCAGTGAAACTTAAAACAATGAAACTTAACTTTAACTTAAGCCTCCTGGCAGCCTATCCTGAAAAGTCCAGCAAAGACAATACCAAGTCAAAACCCCAAAGCTCCTATTTTGACAGACAACTCTTCCTCACAAGACAAGGGACACTGAGTTTTCCACAATGCAGCCAGGCTCCTGAGCAGTGTGCTCAGCCCATGAGCTGCAAGCACCCACCTTCACAAAGAAATCTGAAACATCACCTCTTGCATCTTCTCCTCTACCTCACTGTGCTCAACTCTGTTCAGAATCAACTGTGGATTAAATACAATCAGCTCCAAGGATTAAATACAATATTGGAATATTATTTTTTCCTGGAACTTTCAGGATGACAAGTTATATAGAGACATTCCCAGTCCTGACCTGCTGCAGTTAATTTACAGAGCACGAGAAATGTTATTGTACTGACCTGCTCAGAAAGTGATGGCTTGACTTACAGACATTTGTAGATGTGCTGGAAGTTTGTTCACCAAAGACAATTTATGACTGTGCATCACCACCCTGAGAAAACACCGTGTTCCTCTACCTTCCACAGTTCTACACTCCTTAAACAAAAAAAAACAAATCAAGTCCTCCAGACCTGTACTATAACTGAGATACTCTGCAAGCTGATCCTGCATGGAAACTATGTGAGAAAGCAGCTCCACAGAAGCTCTGGCTGTCACTCTGAGACACGACTTCCACCTCTGCACAGTCGTCTCCACAGCTCAAAGTTTGAAAACACGCCCAGCTGAGCGTGTCCCTGAATCCCTTGGATGCAGGATCCCTCCTCCCCAGCTGCTGGGTTAGTTAACTCTGCTCACTAAAACAGAGCTAATTATGTTTTACTTCCAGTGACTCCTCAGCAGAAATTGCTACCACTGACTGTTTGGACATGCTGAAAATTGTACACTTTGATATTAACAATCACACTCAGGCACGCACTGCTGCCCTGTGAAAGCCATGCCCCTGAAAACACCAATTCGCTGCCGAGTTTTAGCAGATTGCACCTCAAATTAAAGCAATTTGCTGGCACTTAAATATTATTCCAAACACCAAAAGCATGAATTACCCACAGAAAGAGTAATTTAGCTGTTAGAACACTGAATAAACAAATCTACATTTACATTACACTGAATATGAGGCACTTACTTACCTTTACCTTAAATTATTTCTTTAAAGACCAATTGTAAAAGTGGGGCCACATCCTTCCACATTATACAGACCGAAGGAGTATATTTGGTGTTATCACCAAGCACGTAACTGGTGAGAAGAGATAGCAGCAAAATGTTATCAGCCAAAACACACATGTTTTTATGTAAAAAACTACACTGACATTAATTTTAACTCCAAGCCTAATGTATTGGAGTAACTATGCCTTAAAAGCAGTGAATCTTGACTAACATCAAACTTCTGCAGCCGGCAGAATCAATTCCTCCTTCCCCTCTCCTGAAACTTATGTGGTTCCTGAAAAAAAAAAGAAACACTAATTGCCACCTGGAGCAGCTTCTTGAAGAAACTGGGAAAGGATCTCACAGGGAGAGAAAGCTTCAGCTGCAGTGGAGCTACTTTGATCAGGAGCCAAAGATGCCAGAATGACAGTGCTGTTGTGTCATATGGCCACAGCAAAACCCCAAAGAGAGGAACCACGCACACCTCATCACCCCTAAACTGGGCTCACCCTCAACTTACTGGACCAAACCCCCTCAAAAAGACAAATTGGAATTCCCAGTCCAGCCCCAGACCTCTGAAACACAGCCTAAGCTGAACATCTTCCTATTTCCTAAGGCACAGGTTGGGTCCCTCTCCACGTGGGAGCTTTGGAGTGTTTTCCCTCCAGCCCCTGCTGGTGTCAGGTTCCAGTGCCTTGGCAGCAGGAGCTGATCCAGCTGGATCCCATGCCCATCCCACCCCAGCTCTAGCCCTGCCAGGATGACCTCCTCAGCTCCCTGCTCCCTTGGCTTCAAGGTGTGCCAAGGTGCACTCAAACAGCCTCACACAGGGTCCAGAACATCCCCAGTCAACTCAGGAAGGACCAGCCACAGGTCCCCTGCTGCCTGGGAAGTTTGTTCCAGCACATCTCTCCTGGAAGAGATGTGCTGGAACTCTCACCTTGCACACCAGCTGTCTGCTCCAAGCTGTGGCTCCTGGGGACTGCCAGAGGTTATTCCCCATATTTACAGTACCTACAAAAAGTTGGTTCTTCCACTGAGGAGCTGTTTCGTGGCTACACCAATAAAAATGTGTTAATGAGTTCTTTCCCTGCAGCCTCTGAGCACTCAGAGTGTTTGTTTCCCACCAAGGGCCCACGTACAGCACGTGCAGATGGGTGCTCGCTGCAAAGTTTTATCATTTGCATTTAAAAAGCTCTTTAATGATCCAGTCTGACAAAGTGAGGGGGCTCAAGCTGCTCTAGGATAGCCTGAGCTGCCACCACCCCACTGTCACCTCTCCTTGCTGCACAATTCCCTAACTCTGTGCCAGGACCGCCTCTGAGCCCAGGAGGAGCTGGGGCATGGAAAGGGGTCCCTGAGGAGCCCCTGTTCAGGTAGGATTTGGCCAGGTGAGTTCCTTAGTTGGGTCAGCACAAGGGAGGGAACAAGACCAGCTGGAGGTGGGGACATGATCCCAGCAGCTCTCCCAGCTCCACTGGCAGCTTCAGCTGATGTAAGCACAGGGGTTCAAGCCAAATCAATGCAATTTTTGATCATTTGGAGCATTGTCCACACAGCCTTTAGTGGAAGGTGGTGGTTTACTCTTGAGCTGCAGAGCTCACTTATGACTTACAACTCAGGAGCATCTTCCTGGCTGGCTGTGAAGATGTTTCCAAGCAGTTATTCCTGGACACATTCAGAGCCCCTGTATTGTTGCATGCCCACAAACACAGGATAATTCCAGACATCTGTGAACCACACACGAGTGACAGCAACAAAAAAAGACTCTGCAAGTGTAACTTGACCATAAGTCAGCCACTGTCACCTCAAGAAACCCAGACAGGTGTGGTTAACTTTTCCAAGTGACAACACCTCCCTCCTGCCAGGTCCCAAGGCAGCAGGGAAGCACCCAGGAAGCGGCAACATTCCACTCCTCATGGAATCACAGACTGGGCTGGGTTGGAAGGGACCTTAAAGCCCATCCCATTCCACTCCCCTCCCATGGGTAGGGATACCTTCTACTGTCCCAGGCTGCTCCAAGCCCTGTCCAGCCTGGCCTTGGACACTTCCAGGGGTCCAGGGGCAGCCACAGCTGCTCTGGGCACCCTGTGCCAGGGCCTGCCCACCCTCACACAATGCTGTTCTTTTCTGCTTCTAAACTCACTTAAACACTTTAAGACCCAATTCTGCTACCAAAACTGTTTGTGATGCACCCGAAGTTTTATCAAGTAATTGAGCTACATCAAAAATTACCTGGGAAAAGATCCATACATTGCCCTTTTTCTTCTTCAAATCCTGATCAATTCCTCGGTTCAGTTCACCACACGATCCTGCACACATAAAATGGGTGTGTGTAGCAGGAATAAGAAGTGGGTGTTATTTAAATTGTCACTGCTGCTGAAACAAACACTCAAATTAGAGCTTCAGAGCAAATGACTACTGCCATCATCACTGCAACCTGGGGAGTTTCAAGGAATTAACAACTGAAAAGCAGTCTGGCATTCCCCATGCTTTGACCCCTTAATTTAAACTCTGATACTTCTGTTCACTCAGATTTTGTCTTTGCAGCCTCAAAGTTCAGAATGGTCTAACTGCTGCAAAGGGCACTACAAATTGAAAGTTTTTAAACCTCCAGCCTTCCAACCCCTCTCAAGACAGCCTACACTGCCACTAAGCCAAATAAGCTGTTTCAGAAAGAAGTGGACTAGCAATATTCAAATCAACTGTACCATCACCTCCGCACAGTGAATTCAAGTGAATCCAAGTGTTTGTAATAAAGAGCACTAAGAAACACAGACCTCATTTAAAGTTATTATAAAAAAACATGAACGCAATGGGACTCTCTCCATCAGGCCCAAATCTTTTATCTGAAACTAAAGCTTGACATAACAACACTTTAAACCTTGCACATTAGGAAATGCTCCCCAACCCCCTGCATTTTGTCACACACCTGAACAACCTGCTGCCTTCACGTACAAGATGCGAGACTGCTCCAAACAAGATGAGCTGCAAGTGAGGAAAGGGACAAAGAGGGCAAGAGGTACAACAGGTTCTCTGCACCTCCCTCAAAACTGCTAAGCTCATTAGGGCTCGCAGAAAAGGATAAAGCTCCAGCAAGAGCCATTCCTAGTCTACTTTCGCCCACACATAACACTTCCTGCATCCAAAGAAATCACTGAGACCCTCAGGAAGTGAAGGACCAGCTTTCCCTGCTTTCTATATTTATATTATTACAACAGTGCCCTGCATCTTCTTAAGACACTACTGGAAAGCACCTGTACCACTGGTGAGGGAGGTTTTGCCTCCAGCACCTTGGTAAAGCAACCAACAGAGAAAACAGCCACAGGAGCATCTTTAACCATGCAACTTGTGCCAGCTGGGAGATCAGCCCATGCCAATGCACCCCCCAACATATTCCAACACACAAGCCAATTAATTATTAATAATTCAGGCCATGGACCACTCCTGCAGGTCTGTGCAGCAAGCCCAGCTGAGGTACTGCATGAACCACAGCCAGAGTTAGAGCCAAGTCCAACCTCACAGGGAGCATATAATGCAGGCTGTTACTCAAACCAAAGCTGGGTTTGTGTCATAGAGGGGTACTAATGGCAAATAATGAAGTTATTATCTAATATTTAAAAACAGGAACAGATTGCTACATATTCAGCATGAGGAACCAGCTCATTGCAAGCACAATTCTAGCAGCTGGCTGGAAACGACAGGCTTGTCCACAGAGCAAAAACCAACATTTCTCATTACTCCTGACAACAGGGAATAAACTCCCCCAAGAGCACAGAGCACAGGTTACCAAGGCAAAGGTATTCTGCTGGGTGGAAGGGGTGGCTTCCCAGCCTTGTTCCCACCAGAATCAAGGAACATCTCCCCTGTTAGACCTCACAGAACAGAACTCCTGCTCTCCTCCACCTCCTGCTATGTTCTCACAGAAGCCTTGGAAGGAAAGTGATGCTGGTACTCAGTGCTTAGGTCATGGAGCAGAAGTGGTTTGCCCATATGTTTCCTCGAGGAGAAAAGGCTGAATAAATGAAGACACAATACCAGACATCCCGGGTGGCTTCTAGGATGATGTAAGTTCCTTTAAAAATAGCTTATTTCTTATAGGTCTCCTTTGAAATAGTTCAGAATTTACACAGGTAACCTCTAAATGTGAGAAACTAAGTTATAAATATATTCTGCAGCAATTACTAGAGGAGGTTCAAGTGCTAAACATGTGTAAATTCAATATTGCTCCCGAGTCAGCAGGGCTTTATGGAGCAGCTGGAGACGAACAATCAGCACAGGAGATGATTTCCTGAGGCCAGCAGGTTCTGCAAGCTTGGGGAAACGATTAGTTTGACCAGTTCAACCCAAGAGAGGTAGAGAAACTTATGTCCCTTTTTTTTCCCATTTCAGGCATGACCTGTGAGTCGACCATGATCCAAGTAACCACTCAAGAATAAATATCCACAATGGCAGATTGTGTTAGGGGATGTGTCAGGGGATTTAAGTGAAGCTTAAATTTACAGATCCTACAGTAAAGCACCATGAGGAACCAACCATCTTCTCCCTCCTCAGCCCCATAGAACTGGACTGGTTTTCCCCACCTGACACTACTCGTGCAGCTTTCAGCCTCCCCAGAAACACACACACCAACTACACTGAAAAGTCTGAATTAAATCTAGGCCTCAAAGCTTGACCTTCTTGGTAAATGAGGAAGTCAGTGATAACAATGTATGGTGTAGGTTTGAACAGAAGTAATTCTGTCAGGAGAAGATTCTAAGAGCCAGCAGAAAGTAGCTGGAGCTTTCCATGAGTCCCTGCAGGCACAGAAGCTCATTGCTGCACTGACTCTCCCAGAAGGAAAACAGCAGAGCAGCTTCTTGTACTTTCACCATGGTATCCAAGTGTGATTAAACTCAAAATCTGCTTTTATAGTGTGTTCAAAATGTAAGTTTTTCTTCCCTCTGTGCCAGTGATGTGCCAGGTAGTGAACAACCAACACTGCCACATATTCCATGTGCTTTGGAGCCAAGAGTCTGAGCTCTCAGCCTGCACAATGAACCTCAGCTACACCACCTCTGCTCTCCTCCCAGAAAAGGTTAAACTGGAAGACAGACCCTGCCTACAGGCACTCTGGAACAATAGGCTGATTTTTCTGCCACCAATTATTGCCCTGGATAAGTATCAAGTATGTAGAATTATAATTTAACATACATCACTCCTAAACTTAAGGGGCTACTGACCTGTTGGGAGCTCTGGCCTCCCCTTGCAGGGAGCTGCCTGGTTATTTGGAGTCCTCTCACAACAGCATCCTGAAACATCAGCGTGTGGAGAAAGGGAAGAGTATCCATCACCAAATTGACTCTCTGGCTGCTTAGTTCTGCACAACCACAGTGTCTGACAAAGTAACACCAGAATTAGGGTAACCACTGCAGCTGACAGTTCTGAAGTCAAAAGACAACACAGGTCTGCTAGAATTTTATTAAAGTAGGTTGGCACTTGGTCTCACGTAGCGTGAGCAATGTGCAGCCACAGAAAGAGAGCTCAGAGCAAACAGGATTCATGAAGTGCACTAACTGACATTTCAGCAAGATCCATGTTAAAGTACTGCAAACTCAGACAACCCTGACATTTAACAGCCCACAATTACCGCCACGATTGTTACTGTTACTCCAATTTGTAACACTGCAGCTCCCCACAGATGCCCAGCCCAGGGGGTTCTATAGAACCTACAAGGCCAGAGGATTTTTCTTCAGTCCCCATGACACAGGCTCCGAGAGGGCTCCAAATGACAATAACTTTATTAGCTACTTTAGGACTTTGATGCAGGACTATCACAAAAAAAGCACTTGTTTAAACAGGAGCAGGTACGACTTTAATAGAACCAAGGCACCATTTCACACACCCCAGCCCCTAAAATAACACGTACACATTCAGCCTGATGAACCAGAGGCTGCTCCCACAAACTGCAGATGGCCAAGCCAGACCCACCTTGGCATCCTGTGGCGGTGAGTGTTGATCTAAGATTCAAAAATTGGACAGATTGAGGGCCCTGCAGTCCTCTCACAGTAATAAACACCTAAGCAGAGAACTGCCTGGATGAGCCAAAAAAACCCTTAAAAGGAGCAAAATGATCCTTTGGATAACCGCCACTTAAGGCCACTTACAGGTAAAATACACGCTGACTTCTGTGCTTACACCACATCCCAGAAGGAGCACATAAGCTCATTACGGCGCTGCAGGAAGGGATAAAAGCGAAGACCGAGGCTGCTCGGTGCTGGAGCAGCTCCAGAGCCCCGCAGCCGCGGCCGGAGCCCTCCTGGCGTCCCCGCAGCCCGGGGTGCCCCCGGCCGCGGCCGGAGCTGCCGCAGGGCCCGAGGAACAGGTGGGCGCCCCGGAAGGTCCCGGCGAGCGGCGGCGGGGCCGGCCCAGAGCCCCCTGCAGGCCGCGCCCGAGCCGCGGCCTGGCGTGGGGAGGCGGCCGGGCCGCCCGCCGCATGGCCGGGCAGCACCGGCCGGGCCCGGGGCGCCGAGCGGCGGCGGGGCGGGGGCGGCCGCGGCGCCGGGCGGGCGGGGAAGCGGCCCCCGGAGCCCCCAGCGGGGCGGCCTGCGCTCCCGGCCCGGGGGGCGCGGGCGGGAGGCGCCGCCGGCTGCGGGACCCCGGGCGGACGGCGCGCAGGGAGCCCCGCGCCGCCGCCGGCAGCGGAGGCTCCGGTGCAGCCGGGGCGGCCCCGGAGGGAGCCCCGGAGGCCCCGGGAGGGGGAGAAAGGCGTCGCGGCGGCAGCGCCGGGCGGGGGTCGGCCCGGAGCGGCGGGGGCCCGCGGGGCCCGTACTCACGTTGCTCTGCGGGTCGATGGCCTGCAGCAGCCGGTCCCTGATCTGCTGCGGGGACGGGGCCGGAGCCGCTGTCATTGCCTGGGCGAAGCGGGGCGGCTGCGGCTGCGGCCGGGGCGGGCGGGCGGCGGGGCCGGGCCGGGCCGGGGCGGCGGCGGCGGCGGCTCCTCACTCGCCGGCGGAGGCGGCCTCGGGGAGCCGGAGGAGCATGTTCGCTCCCCGCCGGGCGGGGGCGGCGCGGGGGGCCGGGGGGAGCGGGCGAGCCCAGCGCTCCGCTCCGCTCCGCTCGGGCCGAACGCGGGGCGCGCTGGGGGCAGGGCCGGCGCCGCGCGCGGCTCCCTGGGACGCGCCCGACGCCGTGACGTGCGCGCGCCGCGCCCCGGCCCCCGCCCGCCCTCCCTCCCGCACGGCCAGGGGCGCGCACCGCGCCTGCGCGGGGGAGGGCGGGCGGCGGCGGGAGCGCGCGCGTGCGCAGTGGGGGAGCGGGGCGGGGCTGGGGCGCCGTGAGGGGGAAAGGGGGACTGGTGAGGGGACATGGGGACGGCGAACAAGGACCCTTGAAGGGACACAGGGGACATGAGGGACATGGGGACAGCGAACAGGGACTCCTGAAGGGACAGGGGGGCAGCGAACAGGGAACCTTGAGGGGACAGCGCCGATTATGGGGGCTGCCAACAGGGAACCTTGAGGGGACAGCGCCGATTATGGGGGCTGCCAACAGGGAACCTTGAGGGGATGGGGTGACATGGGGACAACAAACAGTGACCCTTGAGGGGACATGGGGACAGCGAACAGGGACCCCTGAGGGGACAGGGGGCTCAGGGCGGCAGCAAACAGGGACCCTTGAGGGGACAGGGCGGACATGGGGACAGGGATCCCTGAGGGGACAGTGCCGATTCTGGGGGACACAGGGACAGAGAACAGGGACCCCTGAGGGGACATGCAACGGGGGACATGGGGACAGCAAACAGGGACCCCTGAGGGGACATGGGGACAGCAAACAGGGACCCCAGGGGGGACATGGGGGCAGCGGACAGGGACCCCTGAGGGGACAGGGGGGCAGCAGAGAACCTTGAGGGGACAGCGCCGATTCTGGGGGACATAGGGACAGAGAACAGGGACCCCTGAGGGGACAGGGGGGCCATGAGGGCAGCGGACAGGGATCCCTGAGGGGACAGGGGCGGCGCTGTGGGCATGGGGACAGCAAACAGGGCCCACTGAGGGGACAACGCCGATTCAGGGGGACATGGGGACAGCAGGAAGAAGCCGGAGGAGAGGGCGCTGAGGCGGGGAGCCGTGAGGGGGAGAGTGGGGCAGTGTCGGCGGAGAGGGGCAGCGGGAGCCGGGTGGCCACTCTGGGACCCCCGCCCGACCCCGGAGGAACCGAGCACCCTGCGGAGAGAAATAAATAATGGAAATAAATAACGGGAATAAACCCCCTGCGGGCACCACTCGGGCAGGAAGGTGTGAGGGGTGTTCTGGTCCTCTCAGCAAAGCATCACTGCGGCACTTGAAACTTCCCACGGCATTTAAGAGCAGCTGAAATTTGACTCCTGATTTCGTTATTTTAAAGCAGCTGCTTCGAGGCTGAATCACAACTTTTGCACAGCTGGAGTCTTGTGGGGACAGCACGCTCTAGAGCCACACGGTGTGTGCAGGGTGATAAAACTGCATTCCTTTAGCAGTGGAACTCTCTGTGATCATAAAGTCACCATTTTTCAGAGGAAGAATAAAAACCTCCCTCAAAGCTGAGCCCAGGGGTGTCCAGCAGGTCACACACACACAGTGATGCCACATCCACCCTTCCCTTAACACTTGGTTTAATTAAGATCAAGCACTAAATGTTTTCCAAGAATTATATTGGTTCGATATAATTGATACAATACAATAATGGTATTGTATTTGGCAGTACACATTTTTGTCTCATTCTAAAGAGTTAGAAAAGGGTTAAAATATACTGAAATTACAGACAATTAATATGTTTAAATTTAACCAAAGGTTGTACATATTTCTGGATGGCTCAAACCACATTTGAAGGAGCCTGTCTGTACATTTTTCTGGGTTCATTACAGTGGCCGTCAAATGACCCTTCCCCTGTCATATTTAATTAATGTGAAAACTTCAGTTCAACCATGACGGTTACTCAAGTAAAATGCTGTAGGTATCCAACAAATATATATTTTACCCTTAAATAGAACAACTTTATTCAACCAAATCCAAGATTATTCCAAATTATCTCTTAACATTAGCTTAGAGAATTATTTTTGCCATTTTCCCCCATTCAAAATCCCTTACATATTGCTTAGGAAAAAAAAACATTTGAAATATTATTTTACAAAGCATTTTTTTTTTTCTGGAAAAATAGGGAAAGAGGGAGAAGGTGAGAATGTTTTTTTTTTTTCTCGAATATTCCTTTTCTACGCCTCCAAAGAAATGAATGGAATAGTGAGAAGTTACAAGAACACTCTGCTCAACTTTTACACAAAACGGAGAACTCAGGAGTGTGACTTGGACAGACAGGGGTAACTCGAGGTGGCACAGAACCAGTTGGGACTGGCAAAGCAGAGGTTTAAAACTGGCTCCAGTTCTCCCCTGCTCTCACTCTGAGCTTAGGAAACCAACTCAAAATTCTCTTTCAGTGAAGCTGAGATCATTGGTGTGAAGGTTGTGGCTCCAAGGCCCCGCAGAGCAGGAACCTGGAGGGGACGAGCATGTCCCACGGGCCCAGGGCTGCAGCTGGAGAGCAGCAGAATATTTTACTCCTAGAAAAGTTTGTTCCCGGCCAAAATTCTCTTCCAATGTCCATGGGTGGCTTTCAAGATCCAAATAACCTGGGGGATGCAACAACAACAAAAAAAAAAAAAGATGAGAAACAGCCACACCTGTGCAACACTAATTTTTTTACTTGGTGGGTTTCCACCCCACCCCAAAATGAAAAACATTCTCAAATTTAAACCCATGTGATGTTTAATTTGAGCAACCCCCAACAAACAACATTCTGCCTGAGGCTGAATGACTCAGGTGCTGGCACAGGCAGTTTTCATGCACTACAGGTGCCCACATTAGAAAAAAAATGTGAGATCAACCCATATTTGAAAAACTGAAATAAGGAAGTGAAGTGAAAAAGAATTATGGAAAAATCAAATGGGAGAGACAGATGTGAAAAGAGATATATGTGCAAGAAAAGTGCCAATATATGATTTTCTGTAACCAAGTGAGAAGAATGCTGCACAGGGTTACTCACACAATCATGCAGAACATCATGAAGACATTCCACAAGGCAATGAAGATTCGAAAATACCTGAGACTCAGCAAGAACTCTCTGATATTGTCGCCTAGAAATCAAGAAGATAAGCTTTTGATATGAAAAACACAACTGACAAGTCACATTTTCAGCGCTGCCTGAAAATCACAAGCAACTCTGAGAGGAAAAAAAAAAAAAAACATTAAAAAAACACAACAAAAAGTTCAGACTGAAATTTGAGGTTGTAGGTGAAGGATGGATGCTCTGTTCAGTGCAACTCTGTAAGGATATATGGCAAAACGACCAAAAAATTATAAAAAGGGGTCACGCTGCTAAAAAGGGAAGACAAAAAAAGGCTTTCTGGGATTTTTAACCAGCAAACAGAGCTACAAGGGAGCAACACAGGTGGATCCACGTGGAAATGGCAATAGGGGAATGAGCAGAGCATCACCTCTATAGCACAGGCACCTACAGGTCTAAAATGCTGAAAGAAATGTGCTTTCTGTGTGTTTCTTCTCATTTTAGTTTACAAGTTAATAAACCAGTTATTCCAGCCCCACAGCAATTCACATCCAACAAAAACGGGTGGGAAAACTCCAGTTTGGCCAAGGATTTCTTCCAGAAAAGCTCGTTCTGTGCGTGTCCTGGCGGCCCAGGGCAGGGCTGTGCCCGGCTCCCGCGTGCCCTCCGTTACCGGTGGTGGGTTCCCTCTGCTCCTCTCCGAATCCCTCCGTGTCCCTCCTCCTCCTGTGGGGCAGAGGGGTCATGTCAGGCAGGTGAACTCCCAAAAAACCCTCCCCGTTCCTCCGCCCGCCCTGCCGGTTCACTCACAGCCTGAAGTTGAGCACGGCACCGGCGTTCACCAGCAGCGTCCTGCGGGAGAAAGGGAAGGAGGTCGGGGATGGAGAGGGGCAAGGAGAGGGGATGGGGATAGAGGGACGGGGGAAAAGGGTCGGGGAAGGGGAATGAGGACGGAGAAGAGGGGATTGGGGACGGTGGAAGGGGAATGAGGAAAGGGGAAAGGGAAGAAGGAAAAAAGCACAGGAAAAGAGAGAGGGAAGTGAGGACGGGGAAGCAGGTAGGGAGGGGGAACGGGGATGGAGAAAGGGAGAAGAGTCGGGGATGGTGAAAGACGTCGGGAAAGAGGGATGGGGAACGGGACAGGAGGACGGAGAAGGGAAAACGACGGGCAAGGGGAGTGAGGCCGGGGAAGCGGGTTGGGGAGGGAGAACGGGGATGGAGAAAGCGAAAAGGATCGGGGTTGGTAGAAGATGTCGGGAAAGGGGGACGGGGAAAGAGTCACAGGAGGACGGAGAAGGGAAATGGGAGTGAGGCCGGGGAGGTAGGTAGGGAGGGGGAACGGGGATGGAGAAGGGGAAAAGAGTCGGGGATGATGAAAGACGCCGGGAAAGGGACAGGAGGATGGAGAAGGGAAAAGGACGGGGAAAGGGAGTGAGGCCGGGGAAGCGGGTTGGAGAGGGAGAACGGGGATGGGAAGGGTCGAGGCGGTCGCGAAGGGGGAAAGGGGTCGAGAAGAGGGACGGGAACAGGATCAGGCACAGCCGGGCCGGGCTAACCCGGCCGAGCCGCTGCCGGTTCCCGGTACCCGCAGAGCAGCAGGTCCCCGATCATGGCTCCGGCGGCGGCTCCGGGCCCGGGGGAAGCGGAAGGGGCGGGCGCTGCCCGGGCCGGCGGCGCCTGCGCTCCCTGCGGCTCCGGCGGCGGCGGCTCCGTGCCCGGACACCGCGGGGAGCGAGGGGCCCGGCCCGGGCAGCCCCCGGGCAGGGAATCGAGAACCGGGACCGAGCCGCGCTCCGGGGCCGCGATGGATCTGGCGGAGGCGCTGCCCCTCGGGGAGCTGGCGGCCGCCTTCGCCGCGCTGCCGGTGTTCCCGCTGTTCGACACCGCCTATTTCATCATCTCCGTCCTCTACCTCAAGTACGAGCCCGGTGAGTGCGGCCCTTGGCCGGGGGGCCCTGGGGGGAGCTCCGGTGCCGCTCACGGACCGGCACAGACCCCGCACCAACAGGTTCTGCACCTGCCCGTGCCTCTCTGCCGCCTGGCACAGGCCATGTCACGGCTCCTGCGTCTACATATAAAGCAGGAAAAACCCCCACGAGCCCGTGACTCTGATTTTGAGAAATAATCCTGGATTTTGTCTAAGGCTGGATTCCGGCAGCGTTGAGGTATTTGAGTTCGGTCACTTGGCTGCCACCCCGGGACTGAGAGTTGAGCTTCTGGCCGGTCCTTTGGCTTGAATATTTTTGTGGCAGTACCTTCCTCCTGTTTATATACAAAAAGGCTGGAAGTAAAACCTTGGTTTTTCCCATCCTCTGGACCATGCCCTGAGCTGTTCTCAAGAACCATAACTGACCTTGCTTCGTTTTTTCTCTTGGGCTTAACTTGCACAGATCGATAGATCTGCGCCTTGGCTTTCACCTTTTGCCTTTGTCACAGCCTGGCTGTGCCTCGGTCTTTTCCAAACGCCCCCTTCCCTCTGTTTTTGACAATGTGTGCACTCCCCATGCTCTGTTTTCAGCAGTTTCCCGGTAACTGCACAGTGACTGAAGGGAAAACCCAGCCCGGGCTCGGGAATGATTTCCAAACCTCGTGTTGTGCGACCTCCGAGCTGTACAATCCATGTGCTGTTCCCGTTAAACTCCCCGTAAACAAGTGCTGGCTTTTCCAGGCCTGATCGTTCCCAGCTGCCTTCCAGCGTGGAGTCCTGAACTGAACAATTAACAGGCAGCCCTCACAAAAATAGCTTTTAAATATATGCAAGCGCAGGAATCCACTTGGGACTGGATAAGGCCGGGGTGTACTTTTCCCCAGATTCCTGCAGTGCTCCCATCCCACAGTTATGGGCTGAGGATCAGTGTCAGGACAGAACCGTCCTGTTTCCTCCTTGGAGACAGCATGGCTTCGTGGAGCCAAGGAAAAACAAGTGTTACTAAATTTAAGCCTCAAGCTAAACCTCAGGTTCCTATAGAACCAGTTTCATGTCTCGGCTGTTGCAGCTGTCTCGCTGCCTGCTGTGTTTTCAGCTGGTTCAAATGTCCCCGAGGATGGAAGAGCCTGGGCACTCACAGCTTTGGCTCATGCTGATCCACTTACTGCTGTTTAAGGTGTACCTGGTAATCATGTTGGCATAACATTTTTAGCATTTTCTCTCTTTGTCTGCTCACTGAACAGAGTTTTGTATCTGAAGTGCTGCACGAAGCACTTTAAGGTGATGAAAGAACCTCACAGAATTGATGTTATTGGGAGGTTTCCCTGAAAAAGTACAAAGGTGGATGAAAATTGCTACAGGAATTTAAAAAAAGGCCATAGCAGATTGTGGGAGGAGCCCACAAAGTATTTCCAGACTAGTACAGGAGCGGGGAAGAACCCTCAAATCCTCTTCTCTCAAATAAAGATTAAGAATTCCTGTTCTATTTTTGCAGGTTATCTTATGAATGAAAAAGCTGAACAGATTGTTCATGAATTCTAGAGGGCACCTAGGTTGAAGCAGTGGTGAGAATGGTACCAGTATGCATTTTATTTTTAGACTGTTAAAAGACATTGATATCAAGGGGGAAAAAAAATGTTCTTTCTGGTAGCAGAATAAAGGAGAGAATCTCTCAGCCAGTTCATAAACTTCTAATGACTGTTCATACGAGATCTTTGGGAGGGTCTGCAGGGTATGATCATTTCTTGGCCATCTCTGGTACTTGTTTGGGTTTCACACTTTTGTATTTTGTTTGACAAGCTTTTCTTTGAGTTGCTCTGTGGGAGAACATGCACCTCGAGCCTCTCTCTTCCTGGGTCTTGAAGTTCCTGCTTAACTGCTAGATCCATTTTCTCACTGAGATGGCCTTGAGGGTCCCTGCCAGTCACAGTGACTCCGTGATTCCTAATTTTTTTCACAGGAGCCGTGGAGATGTCCCGGAAAAGCCCTTTTGCCTCCTGGCTCTGTGCTATGCTCCACTGCTTTGGGAGCTACATCCTGGCTGACCTGCTGCTGGGAGAGGCACCCATTGCCTACTTCAGCCACAACTCCAGTGTCATCCTGGCCACAGCAGTGTGGTGAGTGCCCTGCAGCCCTCCTGATGTGGCACAAGCTGCAGGGAGGTGTGGGGGGAGATGTTCTGAGATGTTCTCAGCTCTGATCTCACTGGGATTAACTGGGGACAGCAGAGGTGGGCTGAGGCTGTCTTTGAGGCTCTTGCACTCCTGGCTCTGGTTCCAATTTCCCTACCCAGTTGCCTCATGCTGTGATTATCTGGGCTGAGGCACTTCTATTTATAGCAGCCACTGCTGGGCCAGGAGCACCCACGGATCCCACAGAGCAAAGGGTGGCACATCCTGAAGGTTTGAGGGCATTTTATTCATTGTGTTGGTGAAATGTGCACAAATGAACCTTTAACTTCCCCAGTGTGTGTGGGTTGTAGGTGTTCAGAGTGAGCATTGTTGGGAAACATTGTGACTGAGATTTTCATGAACAGAAGTCTCAGAGTAAATCCCTCAGCCATCTAGTCTTCTATACTTGAGAAAATAAAGAGAAAGATCTTTCAGAGCTGAAAAATATGGCAGTCTTCTGGAAAAAAGTGTTTGAAATCTGTCCTCTGTCTGTAATAGCATTTCAGTATTTGTAGCTTCTTGTTCTGTATGAGCTGATGCTTCTGGACCGTACAAGACACAAACTTCTAAAAAGTTCTGAATTAGAGCTATTGGGTTTTAGTCAAGATGGAGTATTAGTAGTGAGGGTTCTCTGAGTTACTGAGGGCTCACTCAGTTCTTGCTATAGAGAGGCTTCGTTGCATGCTGTTTTCCTTTTAGGATTAGCTATAAAATTAGGAATATTTTATTTTTAGATTTTTCTTCTCCTTCACCCCCTTCACCTGCCCTAACTCAGCCTGCCACACTACCTCTCTTTGCACATCCCAGATCAGAACAAATCTGTGATCTTTTTGCAGGTACCTGATATTCTTCTGTCCCATGAACCTCTTCTACAAGTGTGTCAGCTTCCTGCCCGTGAAGCTCATCTTCGTGGCCATGAAGGAGGTGGTCCGGGTGCGCAAGATCGCGGCCGGGGTGCACCACGCCCACCACCTCTACCACCACGGGTGGTTCGTGATGATGGCCACGGGATGGCTCAAAGGTGACACCTGAGATGCTCCAGAGGCTGCAGGGAGGGCTGGGACAGGCTGGGGGCAGCTCGGGGGAGCAGCAGGGAGGGGATGTGGATGTGCAGCTTCTCAGGCGTTTTTGCAGCCTCGCAGAGAGGTTGAAGAACTGGAGTCGGGAGTTCTTTAATCTTTCTCCTGTGATCTCTGACCTCACCTGTGTCTTTTCAGGGGTTCTGCAAGTCAGTTTTACTTTAAGGCTGTGTTTGGTGCAAGCACTTGAGCATCAGTAACTGCAAGAGGCAAATGCCTTTTCCCTGCGTTAGGATCCACTCGGTAGAAAGTCAGGGAAGCATTTGCTCTGCTCTGTTGGCTGAGGATAACTTCTAAATCTGGGGAGAATGTCAAGAACCCTTTGTCCCCCTGAGGATCCAGAGCCCTGTGCTGTGGCAGCTCCAGCTCTTTGATAGGTTTCTCTGTCTCACAGGTTCTGGTGTGGCCTTGATGTCGAACTTTGAGCAGCTGCTGCGTGGGGTCTGGAAGCCTGAGACAAACGAAATTCTTCATATGTCCTTGTAAGTCAGCAGCCTGGAAATTCCCAGTCAGGTGAAGAATGGAATGAAAGAACCAGTCAGGGCTGGGTGCAAACCTTCCAGAAACCTGTTTCTTTCTCTTCCAGCCCTACAAAGGCCAGTCTGTATGGCACAGTCCTCTTCACTCTGCAGCAGACCCACTGGCTCCCCATATCTGAAGCCAACCTCATCTTCTTTTTCACCATGTTCATGATAGTCTGCAAGGTAAGTTTACAGCAGCTTTGTTGCCAGCAAATTACAGAACCTCAAGTGGGAATATTCACCTTCCTGAGCCACTACAGGATTCACTGGCTGTGGGATCTGTTCAGAAAATTCAATGCTAAATTCTCCATCACACAAGCAGCTCCTTGTGCCTCGAGTCATGCAGCAGCAGGGACTTTCTCTGGGGTCAGTGGGATGCTCCCTGGTCAGTATTTCCTGGCTCTGTGCGATCTCTGAGTGCTCCGTGTTGCCTGGCAGGTTTTCATGACGGCCACTCACTCCCACGCCTCACCTTTCGCTCCGCTGGAAAACCTCATCTGCCCCGTGATCTTTGGCTCTGTTTCCAGTGGCCACCCAAGCCACCACCACGACCACCACGAGGTTTCCCACCCTCCTCCTCCTCCTCCTCCTGCCAAGTCCAAAGAGGAGCTGAACGAAGGCACCAGAAAACGGAAGGCAAAAAAAGCTGAATAAAAAAACAACGGCGCAGAAAATAGGCCAAGAAAATTCTTCCAGAGCTGAGTCTCAAAGCCACCTGTGACCTCCTTTATGCTCCAGTCCTTCTCTCTCAGACTCCAGAGGAGAGGTGGAAGCCAGGACACTGCCAGCTGGGTCCCTGAATTTCATTTTTGCTCTCTGTGCTGCTGCTTGCTTCTTGGTCTCTGGCTCTCTATTCTGATCAGATTTTCAGGGATTTGTAGGTTTGTGCCAGGGTGGTAAGTGGGTGCCACTTCCCAAACTGTCAGCAAATCTGATGCAGCATTTTCAATTGATGTAAAATCTTTCACTGTGTTTATTTATGAATGGGGGAATGGTTTGTGCTCCTGCGACTTTGAATTTTCACTGACCTTTTCAGTGTCTGCCATAACAGCAAACTGTTAAGACAAAATGTGGAAATCAGGTTTCATACTCGAGGAAATTAAGTGGCCTGGTATGAGCCTGCACTGGTTTTTCCCAGCTCCCACACCTGCCATATCTCCAAGTGTTGTGATACTTTAAATGCAATAAGGACATGGCCTTTGGCCGAGCCAAACCCTGTTCAGTTCAGTTCCCTCTGATTCTGATGGTCAGGACACTGTAATTTGTGTTTGCAAGAGCTCTGAAGCTGTGAAGTGCTCCCAGTGCCATGTGTTGGCACTGTCACTATCTTGGGCTGTGTGTAGCATTGCTGCACGTTGTAACTGAGTCCCACCCCAAACCTCATCCTATTGAACCAGGGGAGAAGCATGGCTCTGGTTTGTAATCCTGTGGGATACAAGAAGAGTGTGTGTGAGTGTAAGTATTTATTACTATTTATTTATGATTGCCAGGGCACCTAAGTCATGGACCTGAATCTGGCTTTTTTTTTTTTTTTTTTTTTTTTTTGACATTTCAATTGGAACTTCTAATTGTGGTCTGAACCCACAGCCACGTGCTGGTTTGGGCTTGCAGTGATCCAGGACACCCTGAACAATCCCTGGGTGCAGGAAGAAACCTTTCCTATATTCTTAAATTCACATAGAAAGGCTAAAGCAGGGCATTTCACACCAGCTGATAAAAAAACACTACTTTAAAGGACTGATAAAAGCACATCAGCTGAAAATACTGATTAGCTTCTGTAGGTCCCCTCGGGCCAAATTGCTGGGCTGTGGATGCAGCTTGTGCCCAAGGAGTGAAGAATCTGAACTGCCTTGCATGGCTCAGGAGGGGTCTGTCAGCTCATTTGTGTTCTGCTTAGTGAACACTGGCTTTTAGAGTAGCTCAAAGCTCTTCTTATAACTGATTTTATTCTTATAAATGGCATCTTCCAAGGGCTGGGATCACCACAGGGAGAGTGGCAAGCCTGGGGATGTAGCACTGGGCATTTTCCATCCCTAGCAGTGAGGTTTGCTGCTGTTTTTGCAGCTGGGAATGGAAAAAGGGTTGAAGAGAAGTGAGGGTTTGTGTGTGTGTGTCCCTGTTCAAAACTGCAACTGACAATTAAAGATAAGAAACCCTCCTTGTGTGCAAGCCAGTAGGAAAGGTCAAATGTGTGGGCTTGGGGTTTGACAGTGCCTTAATGTTGTGAGTTTCCCTCCCCTTCAGTAGAAAGCAGGAATTCTGCTTTCAGCTCCACTGTCTGGTCCTGCAGATGCTGCTCTGCTGGAACCTGATGTGACACGAGCATGCACGAGACTGAATAAATGTTTTATGAGATGTCTGACCCAAGGGGAATTTTGTTTTATAAAAGCTGTCAACAAATAAAAATTGTGAAGTGACTCTGATTGTCCAGTGGCACCTAAGGAAATCTCTGTGTTTGTTTTACCCTTCCCAGCCATGCAGGAGCTCTGTGGCACCAGTCCCTGGGGACAAAATTATTAAAATTATTCTGGTTGAAGAAGAAGATCAGACTTAATGTCCTACAGCTGTGTCTGAATATGTTCCAAATGGAAGTAAAAGGTGTTTGAGGTGTGTTCTCAGAGCAGACATCCTCAGATTTCAGGGAAGGAAATAAGGAAATTGGAAATTTCGTTATTTCCTTGAAATTTCCTTATTCCTTGAAAAAGGAATTGCCTCCTTTGGTGTTTATACCACTTGTCTCTATTCTTCCTTGTGTTGAAAGGAAACTGCCCTCCTCCCTCACTGTAAGAGGGAGGATGGCATTCACCTGTGTCTGGTAAATATATACACACACACATTTCCAGGATATTTATGTGGAGTATCAGTATTTAAAACTGATTTAAAACTGGAAAAAAAATTTAAATTCTCTGCACGAGTGCATATTTAGTGTGGCTAAATATTCACTGCTGCTCTGCTGAGTGCAGTCGTTGCTCTTCAGTCTTTGGACCCTGAATCAAATCAAACTGAGTCAAATCACAGCTTCTAATCAAACACAGAGAGAAGAAATGTTCCAATGGAGGCTAAAATTTAAGCTCTGAACACCTTTAGAGTACCCAACAGGAGCGGGATTAGTTTTGAGAAGACAACAGCCACAGAGGAATCACAAGTTCCATTTAGTGAAGCCTTTCCCAGTGAGAGAGATGGAATTTGTCTTGAATTTCCATGGCTCAGCACTGCCAGTCTGGTACAATTCCAGCCTGGTGTCCTTCATCCCAAGAAGCAAAAATGGGAATTGAAAAAGCACATTTTAAACACAGCTCTGAGGTTGCTCCAGCACCTCTGGAAGCCCCACCTGACCTTTCCAGACACTTCCTTCCTTCAGGCTCTGCTCCAAACAGAAAATGGGAGTGGGGTGTTTCCTAAAGGGATGGAGTAATTTGTTTCCACAGCTCAGAGGTGGAAGTGATGAGGAAAACATGACAAGGCCAATCGACCCAAACAAGAATCTGCAAAGCCTGTTTATATTTTAAAGGGGTTCTCTTGTCTCCCCGGCAGATTTAACTCTTAGAATGTTCATAATCACTCTTTAATTTAGAGTAAATAGTAGTGTAGATTGCACTGGAAAAGGGAATTGCTATGATCCACCAGTGGAAAAGGTCAGTGAAAGACTTGCACTAAAAAAGCAGCTCAGAAAAAAATGGATCACAATGTTTTGGGTGGTTTCACCATTCTCCTGCCCTGTGACTTCAGTTCAGGGTTATTTTGCTCAGTGAACAGGCTGATGAGAGCAGGTTTTTCACATCCTCTGAAGAGTCCCATGATGTCTCTGGAGTCTCTGGCTGCACAGAATATTCCCAGCTGCCAATTGCTGCAGGACAGGAGCCTGCCAGGGCTCAGGGGCTCAGACTTCCATGGGACAGACGTCATTCCCTCCAGAGATGTCCTGATCTGATAACTTCTGATACTGACTCCAGTGAGACCAGGCTAAATTTAGCAGTAGGTTTAATCCTCAAAGAGGCCCTGGGTGCCTGCTGGGAAAAGCAAATGTTTCAGTTGCTGTTTCAGCATTTCATGTGGATTGACAGGTTTCCCTTTCCCGGTGCCTGCAGCTTTTCCATCGTGGCAGATCAGCTCCACAGATAGGGAAAGCTCTACAGGCCTTATGTATTTGTAATTTTAAAAAAACCCCAAACAAACCCGGAGGATAATTTTACACAGAGCATTAATAATTCTTCACAGTAAATGAAGTAGCAAAAAGAGGAGGGCAAAGGGAAGAATTTCAATTTGTATAAGAAAGGGCAAAGCCAGTGCAAGAGCACCAAGCCAGAACAACTGGTGTTCTTGGTTTCCACTTTTCCTTTTGTTATTGATGCCAATATTTGCATTGTTGCACGCTTTGTCCAAAGAATAAACAAATTACATAATCCAGCAAAGCAGAAAGACCCAGAGGATAAGGATGGATGTTACCTTGGCTGTACAGAAGTTGTTCCTTTTAACACTTGCCAGGTGATCAGCTGCCAAATGCCTGCTCCTCCCTGCAGCCTGTTCCTGGTGCTTTAAGGGCACACAAAAGTATTAAAAATTAGAGCTTTATGTATTTGAGAGTAGCACAGCTTTATCTGGCCCTTAGCTATGATTCTCTGTTTTATGGTTCTTGTGCTGTTCTTTAGAGGAGGTAACTGGCTCCTGTGAGGATGCTAAGAAAGGTAAATCTGGGATGAAATGGCATTTCCTATGGCCCTAGATACCCAGGGTTTTTGCTTCAGCAAAGAATTTTCTCTCGAGACATTTTAATTCTTTGTCTAAATAACACAAATCAGAATATACATCTATACAAGACTTTCCAGAAAAGTCTCAAAAGTAGTTTGGATTTAGTGTGAGCTGCTTCCATCCAGGAAGACAGGACACAGACAAGGCAAACCACTCAAATCGGGAGGAATTATGCTGTTGATGCCAAATATTCTGCACAGTGGATTGATATTTTCCTCCTTAGGATGCTCTTAGTATTGGCCCCACTGCATCTGGTTCATCCTGCGTGCCCAACAAGGAAATGCCAATTAAAGGGGTTTGAATTTCATCGAACATCAACATGATTTGGTAAACACCCACAAAATTACCTGGCAGCTAAGAATGTAATGCTGCTCGAAGGCAGCAGTCTGTGAACAAACTGTTGGAGGCTGATGGCTCAGGAACAGGCAGAGAGTGAGAAATCGGCTCCCGTCATGCCAGAGCCCACGCTGCCATCCTGAGTCACAGTTGCTACTCACTTCACCTCTGTGATGACATCTGCGACAAAAAGATGTTGATAGTGCTAAGATCAACAGTCACGAATACCTTGGAGTCTGGTCTGTCTTTCACACTTGTGCATTTGCATCTTTCACACCTTCTCCTTAGAAAAAAGTACCATTTCTGTTTCCTTATCTGCTTCCTTTACTTACCAAAAGCGAATTTGGGAAGGGAATTTTTTTTTTTAAGGAGTTGTGAATGTCAGGAAGAATCGGTGTGAGACGGTGATTCCATCTTAGCCTTAGGGTACAGGTAGGCTATAGCCCTGGAATGCAGGAAAACAGGTCTGAGATGTTTAGAGGCTTCAACATTTTTATAGCCCGAGGAAATCCATAATGTCCCCGGAGAAGATTTCGTTGTCCGACTTTGTTTGGTTTTGATTTGCAAATTACAGCGACCTCCCCCAAACCCGAGCACAGCCGGGGCATTCCTGCAGAAAGCAAACAGCTGCTTCCCCACTATCCCAGCCCTTGGTGCTCCTCCATGGAGCTGGCAGGTCTTGGCTTTCCAAAAAAAGCTCTGCAGGCTTGGGGACCTCTGGTGCCACCGTCCCCTGGTGCCTGAAGCAGAGAGTGAAGCTGATTTTCTTTGTGTGTGACAAGAATCGGTGACAATGGCAGGGAGATGCAGTAGGAGAAGCAGGGAACACATCCCGGGTTGTGGTGCCTTGAAATGCAGCCTTAAAACCCATCTTCAGAGTCCTGGTGTTGCCTTAAATTAGATTTAGAATAATGTAGGCTAAACCCAAAGGTAGGCTCTGTGCTGTTTGTCTGTCAGGCTCCCTGCCTGTTTGATTTATGACAGATTAAGATGTCAATCTCCTCTTATTTGGGTAGATGACTGTGGAGATTAATCAAGTATTGTCTGCAAAAGGAGCCCATAAATGCAGATTACTTATTTTTCATTAATTATTCCTTTGTATACCAGAGGGATCCAGCCAGGAGTAGACACCAGCTTCTTAAATCTCATTTCATGAGAGAACCAGGAAAAGCACAGCAGCTGCTCTGGCTGGTACTGGTTGTCTCTCACATGCTCAGTTCAGTTTCCTGAAAAAGGCAAAAATCCACAGAAATTCTAGATTATGGGCTTTTGTGAGGAGCAGAAAGTGGCCCTGAGTGAGGGACTCTGCTGGGCTGGCAGAGCACCACCCTTGTTGCAGAGGACGTGGGGAAAGCAGCATTCCTTATGGGAAGAGCTATCCTGAACACCTCCAGGAGCACAGATTGGAAGGAAGTGGAGCAGCAGCATGCTGGGAATGCTGGAAAACAGCAGCCTGGAAGGGTCACACCGCAGGATGCTCTGCGAGCAGGAAGAAACACCTCCTCTGTCAGGGCTTCTGCTGAGGGGGTTGCATCTTCTCTCCCTCTGCCTTCCAAGAGCATCTGCACAAAGATGAGTTTTCCCCCTGGTCCCTGCTGGCAGCAGCAGCCAGGGGTCCCTCAGCCAGGGATGCTGTCCTGCCCTTCATGACAAAACCAGGAGCAGCAGCCAGCCAGCTCCTGCCTCTGGAATTCTGCTGCCTGCTGTAGTATCCCTCAGGAAGGGGGATTTTATTCTCCCTTTCTAATTTCTGTCTTGCTGGGCTTTTGCATGTGATTACATTTTTATTTTCTATCTTTCCTCTTTTGGGGACGGCTCCCCACTCCAAATGTTGCCATAATTGGGCGCAGTGTAAACATTTTTTAGTGAATTCACTCTTGCCCAGCTTGCCAGAAGGCAGAGGCCGGGCACAGGCTCACTGTGACTGCCTGGGTGTGGAGGAACCTGCTCTAAATGGCTCAGGGGGCCTGAACCATCCATGGTGCTGGTGCTAAAATACTGAGACAATTGTTTCTAAAATAGTCAGGGGTGGTGACCAAGGGGACCTCAGGTGTGCAGCACCTGACAGGGAGCACACCCAGCGCCTTAGGAAGAGCCCAAGTGACAAACAGGGGTTGCTATAGAGATATTTGTCCTCTTCAAATACAGATGGATCCTGCCAGGATGCAGGGAAGTTCCAGTCAACCATTTTCTGTCAAAGTAGCTGAAATTTTCTCAGGTTTTCCTTAAAACCAGGAGCAGGCAGAGTTCTGGAGAGAGGCACCACAGACTGGTGTTCATTGCCAACACTCATCTCCCCTGAAAGGAGAAATCTGAGAGACTGGGGAGCCTG